CCTCGTTCTACTTTCCACCTGTGTGCCAGAGTGATCCTCTTGGGAAGAGAAGGGTGCATGGCTTCAATCTGCTGAGCTTGCCTCCTTCCTTCATTTCTGGCCCTGGCGGTGCCCGGCCTGGGAATCTGAGCTGACAAAGGGAGGCTGCTTTGCCCTGGGGCACTAGCAGTTGAGTGGTCTGCCACTAACAAAGACATCTTTTCCTAACTGATAGAGAAATGCTCTGAGGCTGATTCTTTTTAATGCCCTGTTTTGTTTGCCACTTTCTTAATTGCCATGTTATATTTTTATTGGTTTAATGTTTTAATTTTGCACTTGGGCCCCAAAGCAATTCAGTGAAGGGGATGATTTGGAAAAATCAAGGAAATAAAGAAATTGTCCTCAGAAGAGGTGGCCTCCCAGGAGCCCAGGACAAAGCAATAAGTGCTAACAATGAACTGTATAAGGACAAAACAAAAACAAACAACCTGTTGTCAGACAGACAGTATTAATGGTCCTCATTTGGTTTGGTTCTGCTTTTGTTGTTGTTGTTGTTGTTTTTAATTTAATACCAGTTCTCCATTTCTTCCAAGGTCAGCCAAGGATGCACACCCCACTCCTTCTCTGCTGCCTCCCAGAAACCTACCACACTCACAGTGCCCCAGGTGACACTGTGAGTGCCTGCCCTCTTTTCCAGGGAAGTCTGTCACCACACACTTGTCAATAGCTACTAAGAGCCTTCTGTCCCGAAGGCTCTGTGCTAGTGCAGGAGACAATGAGTGGACAAGACACTGGACGTCTGTGAGGAGTTTGCTTCTCAGCTGGTGTGAGAAGGCCCTCCAGGAAGTGAAATTGGTCCTGAGAGGTGGGGAGTGAAAAAAGTCTTGGCTCTTACAGTGGTTTGTATACCCATGATGCATGCTCATCTCCCAGCCAGCTGGAGCTGTCTCAGATCTCAGGCTTCTGGTTCCCAATCTTCAGTGTGCAAAGGCTTCCACTATCTTCCTGAAAACTGACCCCTCACTTCCCGCCCTACCCAGCCTACATTCCAGGGCACTCAGACAAGGCATCTCCTTTGCCAATACTTTAGACGACTGTGAACTTTCCCCCTGTTCATTTGGCCTGGATAAACACAGCTAAGTACTTTTTCCCTGTCTGCACCTGGGCAGGCGAGCTGCGACAGGGGAAATAAGCAAAACAGGACAGGATACACATAAAATAGCGACCACCAACCCCAACTGGGTTATCAAGACTATCAGACAACTGGAGATTTTGTGGGCAAGTTACTTCTCAACTCTGAATGATCATTCCCCTCCTTCCTTCCAACTCCTCACCACCTCTTCCTCGCTCTCAGCAGACCTTGCCTCCCACTTTGCAGAAAAAATAGAAGCTCAAGATGAAATCTCCCTTAACATCCCACTACAAACCTACATCTACATCTGCACCCATTCTCTCTTTGTTCCCGCTTTTGGGTTCTAGAGAAGTCAGTCCTCCCTCCCTCTCTCCAAGACCAGCCTCTCCACCCACGCCTGATCTCTCCCCTCACACAGGCTCCCAGTGTCACTGCGCATTTATCTACCCCTTGATTAATCTCTCTCCCCTGGATCTGCCATCAGCTTTTAAATGAACTTAGGTCTCCTCTGCCTTCAGACACCCCTCCCCCAACACACACACACACACACACACACACACACACACACACAACACAAACACACAAACACACACACACACACACACACACACACACACACACTTCTCATATCATCTCTCCTCCCCTTTGCTCAAAACTCAACTCATGTCCACTGGTTCCTCCTGCACTCATCAGGCCACTGCCACCTGACCCTCTCCCTCACTCCATATAATAGCACTTCTGAAAGTCTCCCAATCTCCAAAGCCCATGGTTCATTCTCATCCCTCTAACCTGACACAGCACTTTCCACCTTGGGCTTTTCCCACTTTCCTGAAACTTCTCTCCCAACTTCCTACCATGAACCACCCTCCCTCCTTTGCTCCTCAGCCTCTGCAAGCTTGTCTTTCTTTAAGACAGCCCTAACCTGTGGGTGTGTCCCAAGATTCCATCCTGGGCCACCTTCTCTTCCCTCTTCATGCTCTTCTCCCTCGACAAGTTTGTCTTCATCCATAACTTCAACAATCACTTTTCCACTGACAACTCTAGGGCTTCATTTCCAGTCCAGACCTCTATGTTATGCCCAAATCAGGTTTCCAAGTGCCCACGTCAGGACTGGAGATATAGCTCAGTGATAGAGCTCCTGTCAAGCAAGCACACGGGCCTGAGTTCAAACCGTGGTACTACCGCAACAACAGCAAAGAAAATCAAATAACCACTCAGCATCTACCTATGCCACGCATTTCAAGCTCAGGATGTCTAAAGTAGGACTCACACTCTCACCTCCTCTTCCCTCAGCATCCTCCCCACCCTTCCAGTTTTCCCATCTCAGAATAAGATTCGCCTGCCTACTGGCACAGATACCTCAGAGTCCATCCTGCACTGCCTCTCCTGCTTCCTCTTGCCCAATTCGTGTCTATGGCAATTTTCCCTCTGACCACCTCTAGGAGCCCTCCACTGCTCTCCCAGTCCATCGCCTGAACACCATACCCCTGTCTCCCTCTGGATGCCCCTCTGCCATACTCCTAATCCTAACTGCTCTTCCCACATCTACTCATACACCCTGTTGCACTCTTCACTGGCATTCATACAAACCATATTAAGATTCATCTTTCAACAGGCTCACACCTGAAATCCCAGCTACTTGGGAGGCTGAGATTGGGAGGATTGAAGTTTGAGGCCATCCCAGGCAAACAGTTTGTGAAACCCCCATCTCCAAAATAATCAAAGCAAAAATGGGCTGAAGATGTGGCTCAAGCAGTAAAGTGCCTGCTTTGCAAGTACAAAGCCCTGAGTTCAAACCACAGACCTAGAAAAAAAAATTCATCTTTCCTCTTGACCCTCTTAGGCTCACACTGTCACTGTCTTCTAACCACCCTTAGGCTGAAGAGAAAGACCCTAATGTGGCTGGTTCTTAACATGGAATCTGCCTTTTGCACACTTCTACACTTCCCAATTCTCCTGTTCTCCCTCAGATCCCTGATATGAAGTCCTTCTCTTGGATCTTCTCTCAGCTACACCTTCTGCCTCAGACCCTTTGCACAGGTCTCTTCTGCCCAGATCTTCTTTACCAGCTTCCTCTACATATAGCTCAGGTTTCTTTACAAACATCAGTTCCTCAGGGAATCTTTCTCCATCCCCAAGAAAAGATAGATTCCCTCCTCCCTGTTAAATACTTTCACAATAATTGCTCACATACACACTCACACTCACACACACACAGCAATATTGTTAGGAACTCTTCTAAGCATTTCTGCTTAGAACACAGTCACCCCTGATGACAACCCTAGGAGGTAGAAATAATTATCTCCATTTCCCAGCCAAAGAAACTGAGTCTCAGAGAAGTTATATAACATGCCCAAGGACAGTTAGTTAATAAGAGGCAAAGCCAGAATTTAAACCCAGGCAGTGTGACTCCAGTGTAGTTTTCGAACACTATATTATTCTGTAAGAGAATTTCATCCTTCTTTCTTCACTTACCCACGGTTTGTAATGTTGGATCATATGACCATCTGTTTAGCATGTGCTTCCCTCAGTAGACTGTAAAGTCTAGAGGAGTAGACACTGTTTTATCCCCAGTAATAGGGGCTCAATAAATATTTGCTCAAAAGCTGAGTGTAGATTAGTCTTCTTCTTCCTCACCCACTACAATTCAATCTGTCACTTGGTCCTGTCTATGTTTCTTTCTAGAGTAGAGGTCCCCACTCTAGAAAGTACGTGTTTGGTGGAAACACTTGTTGAACACATCCACCCAACATTTCTAGAGGAAGATTTAAGTTGTCAGCTGATTCTCCATGGGTCTGTGAAGTTCAGAACAGCTGCCTCAGCTACTCCTCAGCCCAGTTCAATCTCTCCCTGCTAACGTCCCCTCAACAACTGTGATACCCTTGTCTGTAGTTTTGTTCTCCACAAATTCATCCTTCATGCATTGAACACAGTAATCTTAAAAAACACAAACACAGGTCACCTCCTGTATAAAACCACTCAGAACCTATTTATTGCCTTTGGGAGAAAGTTCAAACTCTCCTGGGAAGGAGAGAGTATTGTAAGCCTACTTCTCCATCCTCAGATGTCCTCACCGGGGCTCCCTTTTCTTCCCAACTCTACTGCCCAGCAACGGTTCTGTTTGGGGTTCCCAGACCTCAGCAGGGTGGGGTTCTGTTTGGGGTTCCCAGACCTCAGCAGGGTGGTTTCTCACGTTCTGACTCATGCAGTGCCCCTGCCTGGTGTGCCAGCCCTCTCCTTTGTGCCTAAAAAAACTCCCCAACCTGTCTTCAAACCTCAACTTAGATGTCTCTTTGAGGTTAGGAAGTACCCCTCGTCCATGTTCCCATGGGCTGTGCCCGCCCTCCACAGACAGCGCACACCAGGCACTGAACTAACAGTTCCCTGGTTATCGACTGTGTCTCTAGACCCTGTAAGCTTTGAGGCTAATCGCCATGTCTTCTTTATCTTTATATGCCCCCAGTCTAGCTGGGTGCTAGCCCAAGGAAGGGTACTTAGTATTCAATGAACGAATGAATGAACTAACAATTCATGTCTGATTCGTGGGCCCTACAAAATGTAGGGAACAAGCTCGGGTCCAGACAGAAATGCAGATTAGGAAGTGAGAGATGAGTAAACGCAGTCTCAGTGGTCAGAGAATTAGCAATGGAAGACAAATCCCTTCAAGCAGCAAACTGGAAGGATTAGGTTTGTCATGGTTGGCCCGGGGGAGGGGTCACGTCTAACCACGCCCCCTACCCAATGGGCGGGCTTGATAGCCTCCACGTCTCCACCCCTTTCGCCCATAGGGGCGGGGCCGACAGCTCCAGGGGCAAGACTACATTTCCCCGAGCGCCGCGCGGCCGGAACGAACCAGGAGCCGGAAGTGGGGTGCGCGAGGTCCAAGGGCGCAAGGGAAGTGCCGGGTGGGGCCTAAGGGGGCGTGCACGTGAGTTGGCCTGCCCGGGGTCGTGGGCATGGCCGAGGCCAGGAAGCGGCGGGAGCTGCTTCCCCTGATCTACCAGCATCTGCTGCAGGCGGGCTACGTGCGCGCGGCGCGGGAGGTGAAGGAACAGAGCGGCCAGGTAAGCGTTCGCCGGCCGCGTGCACGATGTGGGGAGCTGCGGCCCGCGCCCCCTCCTCGGGAGAGCTGGCGGTGCCGGGAGCTGGTCCCGGGGTGCTCGAGGACACTGGCCAGAAGTGTCGGAGAAGCTGTAGCCTCTGCCTCCCCGCCGCTACTTCCCGCGCCCCGGTGGGGCCTCAGTTTCCCTGTCTGTGCAGTGGGAGGGCAGGAACGTGTGATCCGACGCGCAGGGCTTTATAATTCCCGCGCCCCTTACCTCCACCCCTTCCTGGTAGCGCCACTTTTAAAGTTTCCGAAGTCTCCGGCCACGTGGCTCGGCGGGTCCCCCACGGGGCGCAGAGGTAGCCATGGGTCTGGGGTGGACTGCTACCAGCCCCGCGGAGGCTTCCAAGAGGAGGGACCCTGTAGTTCTTGACCTGGAACGCAGGCGCTTGGTCGTCTTCGCTACTGATAGGACAGCTGGCGGACTGGACACAATAATTTCAAACTAACTTCATTTGGCGACTTTTCTGGTCCCCAGAGAGTGCTGGTAATGGAATGGGGAGCCTTGTCCCCTAACCTTCCTGGAAAATTTACAGTCTGGTGGGGGAGATAAATCAAAGAATCACAAAAGGTGGTTTTACAGTGAACACTAAGTAGGATGCTGAATCGGGGATGGCAGAATGCCTGTGTCAGGAATATCCAGGACTGCTTCCCTGAAGAAGTGGTAGTGATTGAGGATCTGAAGAGAGGTGGTGGGTATTCAGGTAGACATACAAATGCCCTGGGGCTGGGAGAAGCAGTTGTGTGCGCCCTGGCACTGTGACTGAAGTTTGAAGTACAAGGGCTATAGAGTATACAGGAGAGATGGAGACAGAACCTGGCTGGAACCTTCCGTGGGCAGTTTGTTCTCCCCATCAAAGAGCCAGAGAGGAGTTTGTTTGGGGGTTTTGTTTGTTTTTGTTTTTGACAGTTCTGGTCTTTGAACTCAGAGCCTCAGATTTGCTAGGGAAGTGCTCTACATTTTAGCTACACCTCCCCCCCCCCCAGCCCTTTCCTTTATTTTTCACATAAGATCTTTTGGGGTTTTTTGCCCTCAGATTTGGATCCTCCTACCTAAGGCCTCCTGTATAGATGGGATTACAGGCATGTACTACCATGAATGACTTACTGAGATGAGGTCTCACTAACTTTTTGCCCAGGCTGGTCTCAAACCTCAGTCTTCCCCATCTCCACCTCCCAAATTGTTAGGCTTACAGGAATGGAAGGTGTGCCTGGCCTTCCACCAAAGAGTTTTAAACTGGCTAAATGGATATTGACCTGATTAGTCCCAAAGCTTGCTCTCAGGACATCCTGGAAGGTCAAAAGTATGGTGGGTTCTCTGTGGACCTCAGCTGCCCTTCTTACTCCAGGTCTATCACTTAACAGATAAGGGGTACAAGAGATAATACCCATCTTTGGGTTTTTGCCTAGAAAAGAGTGTCCTGCCTTCATGGAGCATATGTTCTAGCAGGAGCAGACAGTGCCAAATAAGGCATAGTATAACAGTTGATGGTAGTAGGTGCTGCCATCACAACACAATAGGCAAGGGGGTAAGGAAAGTCAGCATTCACTTGCAAGTAGGGTGGTCAAGGAAACTGAGAAGGAAATGAAGGAGTGAGCTGTGTAGTTAGCAGGGGAGAAAGCCTTTCAAATAGCAAGAAGGGCAAAGCCCTGTTGGGAACTGATGATCTGACATATATGAGGACAGTGAGTGCCACCAGCATGCCTGGGAAAGAACAAGAGTATAACTGACACCGTCTCATTACTAACTCATCATGCTGGGCCTGACAAGAATTGTCTCCTTCAGTCCTGAAGGAGACACTTACCATGGACCCTGAAGTTTGAAGAGGCAAAGAGATGAGTGCAGCCAGTTAACAGGAACTCTGTCTGACTCCCAGAGTGCCTCTTGGCCTCTCTACCCAGGTGTTGGCACCCTCTGTCCCTGCCACATTACTCATTCAGCTTCACTGGAGCCCTTGACACAACAGATTCTTGAGGTACATGTAGTGTGGGTCTTCTGACCTCATTTCCGAGGGACTGGTTTCCACCTGGTCCCCTCTGCTTCAACTGAAAGACTGACACCATTTGGACTCAGTCTCCTCCAGCAGACCAGTGGGTTGTGGTCCTGCCATGTGTAAGCCTCAAGTGCCTGGGCTGTGGTTTGTGTATTGGGAAGATTGAGTGGCCAGGCCTTGGAAAGCCTTCTGAAAGGTCAGTGTTAGGAAAAGCCCTGTCTCATGGCCTCTCAGTGGATAGTGCCAGGGAGCCTGGACAATGCTGTCCTGGAACATTGCAATTTCAGCCTCTCACAGGTGAAATGCCTCTTACCAATTTGTTGTACTCAAAGGTTTTTAGCTGGAATTGCTTGCCCTTCTTGTCCGTGGAAGAGTTTGGTGCTAGCAGAGCCAAGCAGCCAAACTTCGGGACCCTTCTCTGAAGTTGCCTGAGAGCTGGAAGTGTGGCTCAAGCAGCAGAGCACCTGCCTAGCAAGCATGAAACCTTTAGTTCAAACCCCTGTACTGCCAAAAAAAAACCAAACAAACTCCTGAAGTGCCTGTCTGTGCAGGCCCTAAGGTCAGGGGGTGCTGGGCCCTAGGAGGGTACTTACTGTGCTGGGGATTAATTGCAGTTCTCTTTTTATCTATCTGCAGAAGAGTTTCCAGACTCAGCCTGTCACCCTTTTGGACATCTATACACACTGGCAACAGTAAGTCTGGTGGGGCTGAAGAGATGGAATAGGGACACCCCAAGCAATCAGCCTGGAATAAGCTAACATACTAGTCTGGTCTGAGATCTGTCCCTTTAGTCCACTGTGGACACTCTTGTTGCCCTGGAAGCCAAATCACATCACATATAAGGGAATTTTTATGTGGACATCTGGTAGTGGGAGGGGTCATTGAAAGCTTTTATCTCTTACAAACAAAAGCTTCTTACTAGCTTGTTTCTTTATCAACAAACATTTATTAAGCACTTACGGAATGCCAAATGCCCAGTCTTGTTCTAAGAATGGAGATAGTCATAAGTGAGACAGGCTGGTTTCTTCTTTCCTGCAGCTGACATCATAGCAGGGAGGTAGGCCCAAGTCAAAGGTTGAAACAAGCGATCATAAAATGCTAAGGGCAGTAAAGATAGGAAAGGCAGGAACCTGGGGCCACAACTATAATTTGGCAAACCTGGCTTCATCTGAGGGCTTTTAGAGCTTCTTGGGATGCCCTGACAAGAGAGCTTCAGGAAGCAGGGATGTGAAGTGGGCAGTCAGGATAGATGAGCAGAGTGTACCTGGCAGTAGGAACAGCTGGTGCTGAGGCCTGTGACTGAGGGACAGTACAGATGAGGCTGGGTCCACCCCTTCTGGCCTGCTCATCCTTGTGAGAAATGTGTCTTTACCCAAGAGCTGTGAAGGCCATCGAGGGGTGAGGCAGGGTGAGCTTTCTGTACCAGACTGAAACATTATCATCCAGGCAAGAACTGCTGAGGCCTGAGGTGGGGAGCACAGAGGAGGTAGACAGTGGGTCCCAGGAATGTTAGGGATAAAGCCAGAATGATATGTGGATGGGTTGGAGAGGATGTATCTAGTTTGCTCCCAGGTCTGGCTTGTATATCTGGGTGGAAGGTAGATCCATGCGCAGAGCTGGATGAGAACACAGCTTGGAGGGAATGGTTCCAAGGACATGTGAGTGTGAAATGCCTGTGAAACGTGTAATCACCTTTCAGGGAATGGCTTGAGAATGGATGGCTGTGTTCTCTCCATGCCCTGGCCTCACTGCCGCTGACAGGACTGGTGAAGAACCTATAGACTTGGCCCGTGAGGAAATGGTAGCGAGTATTGGAAGGGCATGAGGAACCACTGTCTACACATCTTTGGGGACAAAGGGAGTGGTGTGTTCTGTGAGGCCCTAGGGAACAGGTGCTTTAGGAAGGCAAGTTTCACTTTCTAAATACAGATAGTTGAGGGTCAGAGCTTTCCAAAAATGAAGTAGGTGACAGAGTGAGCTCCCTATCGTCAGAGGAGTGTGAGAAAAGGGTGCCAGCCTCTAGTGGATAACCTCCACGCTCATCATAGACCCTGCCTGCCCTCAGTTCTTGGCTTTTCTCTGTTCCTCATGTGAGCTCAGAGCATAGTGCACATCCCATTCTTCTTGCCCTCTTGATCTTGGTGGATGGGTGTTACCTATACCATGCTTCCTCCCTAGCATACCCATTCAGTGAGCTGCACAACATGTCCTCCATGCACTGGCACCTTCTGTGGGTGAGGGGTATAGGTGGGACAGGGATTTCATACCTACCCAGGGAAGCTAGCCAGTGAGTCCCTGCAAAGTTCAACCCAGCAGCTGGCTGTATGACCTTGAGCAACTGTCTTGACTTCCCCAAGTCTCTTCATCTATAAAATGAAAATAATAATCTTACTGCATTGTGAAAATTAAACACAATAGTATCTATGTAATAAAATCCTGAAACCAACCATTAGAGACTCCTCTTCCCCTAGTATTCACTGAGTACATCCTACAACTAGGCACTGTTTTTGATATAGCTGGGAATAAACAGAAAAATCCCTGCTCTTGTGGAAGAGGCAGAACAGATTGACATATGTAATAAATGAAATCTGCTTTTAGCAGGAGGTTCCTGAGAAGTGGCCTTCCTGGAAAGAAAGAAACCTGAGCAGCACTTCCCAAATTGTGGCAGAGCAGTGTCTGTCCCATCTGGGAAATATGAGGCACAGACTGAATCCATAGGGGCGGGAGGTGGAGTCAGAGAAGGTGGCACAGAAGTTGAGAGGACTGTCTTCTTGGTGCTTACCCAGTAGTGCCCCAAATTTACTCCTTGACTTGGGCAAGGTACTCGTGGCTCCTTTCTCCAGGTGTGTGCAAGGCACGGGGGTGCTGTAATACACTGCCAGCCCTCCTCCTTCTAGACCTTTCTGTGTAGTGGGGGAGTCAGTCCGGAAGTCAGTAATAACAAGACATAGAGAAGAGTGTTCTGAAGGAAATGAAACAGGCTGACAGAGCAGAGAATGCCATGGGGGAGGGGATGGCAGCAAGAACACCGAGGAAGCTGAATTACTGTTCAGATGGGAAGGTCTGACCTCTGTATAGGGAGGAAAGAGGAGGAAACAGCTGTGCAGCAGGTTCTGGAGGAAGAGAAGCCTGAGTGGTTCTGCACAGGGCCTCCATAGGCCAGTACCCATCACCTAATGGCTGTTAGCTGCTACTATTCTATAACATCTGTCACTGGTAGTTACAGTCAACACTAATTGAGAATTGTAAGAGCAGTTTATAAGATGAGTAAAAACACAGAATACAAAGTTGTATGCACACTGTGGGTCATCACTGTTTGAATTCTCTTAATGTATGTTTCCTTTGGGGTCTGGGAGAATGGTGTTGAGGTGTCCTGTCCATCAGTTGGTGTAGCCAGCCTCCCCTGTCCTGCAGGACCTCAGAGCTTGGTCAGAAACGGAAGGCAGAGGACGATGCAGCGCTGCAAGCCAAGAAGACCCGTGTGTCAGACCCCATTAGCAGCTCAGAGAGCTCAGAAGAGGAGGAGGAGGAAGCAGAAGCCAAAACCACCAAAGCTAGTAAGAGCCCTGCATGCTGAGTGCTGTGGGGTCTTGGGCTTGCACCTTTGGGAACACCTCTGTAATAGCCACTTCCTCCAAAGCACAGTCCTCCTCTGGCTTCTCATTTAGTTTGAGCCCTGGGAAGATAGGACCTTTAAGGGGAGATTGGGCGGGTGTCACCGATCTATTTGAGTCCTTCCTTTATGACAGACATTGTGTCCCCAAGTTCTGAGGATCCAAGGTGAACCACAAAAACCAGGAGAGGACTGGTGGAGTGGCTTAAGTGGTAGAGTGCCTACCTAGTGAGCTCAAGATTATGAATTCAACCCCCAGTACTGCCCCCCCACCAAAAAAATTAGGAGGGCCTTATTGACGTACAGCCACTGTAGTAACACTCTTTGCTTACACTGAAGACAGTTCTTGACTTTTAAATAGATTTTCTGATTATAGAAGAAATGCAGGAGGCTGGGGATGTAACTCAGTAGTAGAACACTTGCCTAGCATGACCAACACCCTAAGTTCAGTCCCCAGCACCATGGGGGAACAAAAAAAAAGGAAATGTAGGTTTCCTTGTATTCATTACAGAAAATTTGGAAAAAAGGCAGGGAGGGCTAGGGACATACCTCAAATGGTAGAGTGTTCACCTAGCTGGTTCTATATAGCACATTCCAGGCTAGTCTGAGCTGTATAGCAAAACCCAGTCTCAAAAAAAAAAAAAATTGGGGAGGGAGGGTGGCCCATGTGTACACATGTAAGTAAATATAAAAATGATAAAATAAGGGGGCGAGGGGAAGGGAGGAGAAATGACCCAAACATTGTATGCACATATGTATAAAGGGGAAAAAAAAAAGATAAAATTAAAAAAAAAATTACCCACATTCTTGCCACCTATAATTCAGCAAATTCACAAATTATTCTTTTATTTATTTATTTTTCCTGAGCCTGCTTTTAAAGATTTTGAGATCATACTGGATAAATGTTTTATAAATCTTGTTTAATTTTCTTAAATTATAAATGTAAAACAAGTTCCCTTTGAACTGTACAGAAACACGCAGAAGATAAATGGAAAGTTTTCTATTTTCCTCTCTGCTCTCCTTCACTCTGCTTCACTAGAATTGTGCAGTGCTTTGTGGTAGTAGGTGGTAGGAACGTCAGCCAATCCTTTATCTCTGGGGTCCCCAGCATCTCATGCCACCGGACAGTTGGGAATCCCTTAAGGTTGCAGACAGGGAGCTCTCCTGTTACCTGGGTAGATGTGGCTCATGCATCACAGAACTCCCCCACAAGCCTGGGCTCAGCCTCAGATCCGCACGCCAGCACAGGCAACCAATACCAAATGAGTTTTTAGGTACGGTGTTTTCCTTTCTTAGATAAGAAAGGGTTCACCCAGCTGTTGTTCATGTCTTGCAGCCCCAAGACTAGCATCTATGAACTCCTCAACCATGGCAACAGATTTACCATTGAACCTGAAAGAAAAGGTCCAGGTAAGTGGGACCACTTTTCAAGCTGTTGCCTATGGCACTTGAAGTGCCCTGAAGGGGACAGTCTCTTGTCAGAGAAGGATAGCATTGTACTTGCCCAACCTGGATTCAGAGCTGAACCTGTGTCATCAGCTGTGGGATATTGGTAAGGCTCTTCACCTCTCTGGACCTCAGTTTACTTTTCTGTAAGATAGGGGTGATGCCTACTGCAGTGGGCCACTGGGTACATTGTGCACCTGGGCAGTGTCATTCCTCCCTTATGCCTGCATTCCCCTGTTCACTGAGAGATCTTTGTCAATGCCTAGTGTGTTCCAGGCACTGCACCGGGTGGGGCAGGTGTTATATTGAGCTAGACACCTGTGTTTCTCAAACTCTGGTGTCATTCTCAACATCAGAAACTACTTAGAAAATAGGATATCACAAGCACGAAGCCCTGAGTTCAAACCCCAGTACTACCAAAAAGTAAATAAAATTTCTTCTCCCTAAACATTTTGAGCTGGGAGTGTGACTCAAGTGGTAGAGCATTTGCCTAGCAAGCACAAGGCCCTGAGTTCAGACCTCAGTACTATAAGAAAGAGAATAGGTTAGGCCCTACATTTAATCCTCACCACCCCCACACCCCTCGCAATAGGATATCATTTTCTGGTAATCCATGAAGCAGTGTTGCAGACATAGTAAGGATCATGTCCCTGAAACTGGAACATTAGCAGTAGCATAAAAAAGTCGTTATAAAGCTGGGATGGTGCCCACGCCTGTAATCCAGCTACTTGAAAGGTAGAATTGGTGATATTCACAACAAACTACTGCTGCTTACTACTTAACAAGTAACTGAATGTCCCAAGAACCGTAATGCAGCTCTCAGCATATCTGGGAAGGTGTTTTAGGCCAACTTTGAAGATGAGATAAGGCTCAGGAAGGCAGTTTACCCAAACACATATAGCTAGGAAGTGGCTGTGTAGGTGTACTTACAGTAGCTGTGCTTTTTGAGCATACTGCCATGCCAGATGTGCCTGGTCCTCTTGTTCCCTGTAGGCAAAGACCAAGAAAGCCAACAAGACGGTGAACTCCCTGCCACACCCTGCCTCAGGAAAGGCGGTGGTGCACCTGCTCTCGGGGAAGTCTCCCAAGAAGCCAGCAGAGCCTTCGGCAAATACCATCTTGGTCTCAGAAACTGAGGAAGAGGGCAGTGTCTTGACCCTCAGAACTACTGCCAGGCCTGGTGAGAAGCCCCCACCTATGGAAGCCAGGACACCAGAGTAGCTCTGAGTTGAACTTTCTCAGAGGGAGATACCTGAGCAGCCTGGGTGGTCGGAGCACTTCTGGCTTTTCACTGTAGTGAGTTACAGAGACCACTGGTGGCTAGAGGATAAGTGGAAAGGCCTGGGTTTGTTTCCATTTCTTACGGAGGGTGAGCATTTGGCCAGCCTGCCATGGACATGATGGTGAATAGCAATTTTATGAACTGTCAGGTGCTAGCACACTGTTTCTGTAGTTCTATTCTGGCCTTACCCGTGTCTCAGATATGCAGGAAAACAGGGATAATGAGGAGCCCGTCGGTGGGGGACTGAAAGAGATGGCAGACATACAACCCTATGCATAGGAGGAGCTAGTGCTGGGCACCAGGCTTTACCTAGCAGCTAGCATGGGGGAGGTACTAAGGAGGGGCGGGTGAATATAGAAAAGATGTCCCTCAGTTCCCTGTGTCCACCCCTTAGGGATGGTGACAGCGGACCAGGCCAGCAGCTCCAGTGAGGACACTTCCAGCTCGAACGATGAGACAGATGTGGAGGTAATTTCTACCCTTATCAGGAGCTGTCCTCTTCAGGCCTCTGACACTCTCAGGAGCCTGGCAGTGGCCCAGATCAGTTCAGCAACTGTGTCTTGAGTGGAAAGAATTCAGCAGAGCCTGGGAGTACATTTGAGGGGAGGGAGAAGAGAAGCAAAGACCCTGTGGTTGGCTGTTCCATGTGGTTAGGGTGAGGCTGCTGAGAGGATTCTGGGCCACTAGTGAATGCCAGCCTAGGTACCAGGCTGCAGTTAAGCAGGAGTCTCAAGCTGTGGTCTTGTCTCTTCTCTGAACTTTGACCTGGGAAAGGTCATTCCTTATGTACCGACTAAGCACCAGGACTTGGGAATATATTGGTGAGCCAGGTGGACAGGGCACCTGCCTACATGGGGAAGGGGAACCTCATAATTAGCCATAGTGGGGATGGTCACTGCAAGGGGAAAGTGGAGAGCCATGAGGGGCAGTGCCAGGACCCAGACACCCAAGCACAGGTGTAGGCGGGGGGGTGGCGTGTACAGAGACAGTTCATGCTTTTAAAGACACCGAGCTGTAAATTTGTGAATGAGGGGGAAAGTGATACAGGATGTGATTATAGTCACAGGTAGGCAGGGGCAGTGTACTGTCTGACCTGGAGGGCCACCACAGGAGTTGGAGTCTTATTCTGGGGACTGTGAGGTTTCAGGCACAGAAGTAAGATGGCCTGGTTTGTGTTTCAGAAAGACTGCTGGTTGTGACCTGAATTTGAGGTCGGTTTAGAATAGAAGCAGTGAGACCAGCTAGGGACGGCTAGAGTGTTAGTGGCAGATGATGCTAGTGGCTGGGACCAAGGTGTCCAGTTGAGAAGGTGTTTTAGAAGGAGGGTCAGCCAGAATGAGGGGTGGATTGATTTGGTGCCCAGGCTGCTGTTCACCCTATCTAGTGACCCTGTGAAGGCTGAGCCACCACCACCTGCCCCAGGCCTGGCCGTGTGTTGCTCCCACCTTTCCTTCTCACCTTTGGGCCCTGGATACAGCCAGCCATAAGGACGTCTCTGGCTCCCAACACTCCAGGCTTTGCCAAGGGAAAGGGACCGTCCCTGCTGCTGGAAAGCCAGAGCCTCGGCACCCATTCTCAGTGGGTCAGAGGCTAGCGTGGAGCTTCAGCAGCTGAGGAGGAGTTTGGGATGAAGGACATGGAAGCCCAAGGCTCAGGCTCAATCTGACAGAGCACAGAGTTGCTGCAGGCACTCTCTGACTGTCTGGGAAATGTCAGAATTTTAAGTCTAAGAAGCGCTAGCAGGGAAGGAGTATGCCTGAGTTGTCTCAGCAAGCCAGGGATGCGGCTGGCCTTCAGATGCTGGACTCCTGCCTCAGGATGCCACCACAGTCAGATACCTAAGGGACAGATAAGTGTGCCCTCTCCTGACTGAGAGGTAGCTCCTTAGTATGGACCCTGTATGTGCTGGGTGGGGAACAAGCAACTGGTGGTTGAGAGTTCTGCTCCTACAATCAGCCAGCCAGCCAGTGGGTGGTCCCTGAAGGACCTTTGAATTGACCTTGAGTGATTTGTGCCTTTCTGGAAACTGGGTGTAAAGATACTTGCCTCAGGGAATTGTTCGCAAATCAGATTGCATTAGGAGGGGGCTTTATAAACTGAAGTGCCTTTGACATCTAAGAGGCAATGATGACTGTTCATTTCCTAATTCTACCCCCTGGTTCCAGGTGAAACCCTCAGTAAAACCAGCCCAGGTCAAAGCTTCGCCAGCCCCTGCCAAAGAGTCTTCAGCAAGGGCATCCCCAGGCCCTGGAAAGGTGGGCAGTGTGACTCCTCAGGTCAAAGGAGGTGCCCTGACCCCAGCTGAGAGGCCCATGAAGCCAGAAAAGGAGTCCGAGAGCAGTGAGGAGGAGTCTGAGAGTGAGGAGGAGGCCCCCTCGAAGACACCCAGCCAGGTGAGGCCCAGGAGAGGGCTGCCTGTGATTTCTGATGCTGGCAGAACTGCTGTATAATGAGTGTTCCTGACAGAGAAGACCCATCCTGGAGGTTTGGAAAAGGGAGGAGAGTAGGGCTAGGGGGCTTCAAGGCCTATTGAAATGATTCTTGTGGTCTACACCCTACTCTGCTGGTAATCACTCCATTTAACCTTGATTTCCCAGTCTACTAAATGGGCCAGTGTCCTACACCCAGCTAGCCCTGCTGTTAGTAAACTTGAAGACTTGTTTTGTTGGTTTTGGTTGGTTTTGGACAGGATCTCACTGTGTAGCTGTGCCTCAAACTCAAGATTGTCCCAAGTGTTGGGATTACATGCATCTGCCACCACACCCATGGAGACTGGAAAGGTTTTAATTGCCTGGTCCTTTTCCTTACTTCTCTGGTCAAACCAGACTCTGAGCAGGCAAACATCATGTTAGCTAAAGAGAATCTGTTACCTTCTTGGTGTGCCAGAGCCTTTCCTCTGGGCTGTGGTCAGGCTTGCAGCCCCCAGGACTCTGGGCATATACCAAAGGCAAGGCAGCAGAGCTGGAATGCTGTTAAAATTAGAACAAGGAGGAGGAAGAGTGAAGGAGCCCCACATCCAGGCTTGACAGGACACGCAGTGTTGGGCGCTACTGAATATTAACACAGAAAGTAAGGTGGGGGAGGCAATATAAAGTGAAGTGGGAAGGGAAGCCCTCAGGAGAAGACATTTGAGCAAAGACACAAAGTGGAAGAGGGAGGGAGCCACATGGACATTGTAGGGAGGTCATTGCAGGGAACAAAGGTGCTGAGGCCCTGAGGTGGGAGTGTATGTGTGCAGGCCTTGACTTACAGGGACCCCCTGCTCCTCAGCTCAGGGTAGTTTTGCTGTGGCCAGAGATTCAGAAGGAGCCCAAGTGTGAGTTTTTATGGAAAATCTACATTCTCCATGTTGGTTCATAGTTTGAAAGGGAGCAAGCCAAGTGAAGCCTGTGTGGGTAATTGCTCCCTCTGCATGAGAAGGCTCTTAGAAGATCAGAGATGCCTATTTTCTCGGAAGACTGGCCCAGGGCTGAATGGAAAGACAGAGCCTGCAGCTGCCATCCCAGAGCCCCAGTGCAACACAGTGCCTCAGAGCTGTAGGGAAGAGTGAATGAAGGTGAGGAGGCCAGGTGTGGCACCTTGCCCCAGGAGGCTGAGAACAGGCTTCTAAGGTCCTGCTGCTCTCCATGAGCAGGAAACCCAAGAAGGGCTCACTCCGTCTTCCACATTCATATGGCTCCTAGCTTGCCACAGCCAGGCTCCTTCAATTCTTCCCTTTGGACCTTCACACACCACACACCCCTTCCCTAGCCCAGTCAGTATCCACTGGGGCTGGCCATCCTTGCATTGCAGGAGTGGGCCAGCTGGGAATTGCCTAGCAGGGAACAGACTATAATCACCTAGGGTGTGGGGCAGCCCAGGAGCAGTCCAGGGGTGCAGTGAGATCCACCATAGGAAAATGGTGTCTGTGGTCTTGAAGCTGAGTCAGTGGTGGCAGTGGCCAGGTGAAGTGATGCAGGGGCCATGAAGGCCTCAAGAAGTGAGGGGGGGGCGGTGAAGCTGGTCAGAGTAGCAGAACCCGGAGGCCAGTGTGGCTGAAGCACCAGTCAAGGTGGTGAGAGTAGGGAGTTTTGAGCACTCCCTGACGGCCTTGGCGCTTTTTTCTGAAGGTATCACAAGAGGATCTTCGGAAGGAAGACAGTAAACTGCCCTTTTCTCCTTCACTAGGTAAAGGCTTCTGAGAAAATTCTCCAGGTTAGAGCTGCCTCAGTCTCTGCCAAAGGGACCCCTGGGAAAGGGACCATCCCAGTCCCTCCTGGAAAGGCAGGGTCCATAACCACACAGGCCATGGCAAGGAAGCCAGAGCAGGACCTAGAGAGCAGCAGTGAGGAGGAGTCTGACAGTGAGGAGGAGATGCCAGTGGCCATGACCCCACTTCAGGTGAGGTCTAGGGGAAGCCCCCTGCACTCTGGGCTTTCCCAGAAGGCCTTCTGAGGAGCTGCTCTGTCACCCTGTACTGGACCCAGCCCCTCATCCTCTTCACTGAGTGCTGCCATCTGCGCGGTCAGGTCTCCTGTCTGCACGCATCTACTCACTGGCTTTTGCCTCACTCCATTTCTCACTGCAGGCAAAGTCCTCAGGGAAGACTGCTCAGGTCAGAGCTGCCTCATCCTCTACCAAGGAGTCCCCCCAGAAACGGGCCCCTCCGGCATCCCATACAAAGACAGAGTCTGCAGCTGCCCAGGTCCCAGCAGGGAGGCAGGAGGATTCAGACTCGGATTCAGACAGCAGCAGTGAGGAGTCAGACAGTGATGGGGAGACACCGGCACCTGTGACCCTAACCACGAGCCCTGCTCAGGTGAGGCTAGGGGACACCATGCCCTGCCTAGAAAGGCCTTTTGCAGACTATGCTTCATCCTGAGAATGCCCTTCCCTGATTCTGCCCTTTGTCACTCTCAGGTGAAGCCCATGGGAGAGGGACCCTTTGGCCAGACCTGCCTCCATTGTGGTTGGGGGCTGTTAGGGCAAGGTGTCCCCACTCCCCCTCTCCCCCCAACCTCCACCTGGGGTAGACTGCTGCATACACACACACACACACACACACACACACACACACACACACACACACACACACACACACACACACACCACCACCCCCACACACACACACACCACCCCACCCCCCCCCCCCCCCGGGGCAGGCCCAGCTGCAACATGTTCCTGGATGGGAAAGGTGGAAGAAGAAGAAGATGGTTGGGGGGAGGCAACCCTGGCCCAAGGGAAGTTTCTTCCTGCCAGACTCTACTTACCCTTAGTTCCCAGAACACAACATGGCCTAGTCCCTATACTGGGGACTCTTGACTGTCTTGGTCTCTTGTGTCTGCACACATTCTCCCCTGAACTTTCTCTGATCCTCACTCCAGGCAAAGCCCTCGGGGAATATCCTCCTGGTCAGACCTGCTTTGAGTCCTGCCAAGGGTCCCCTGGGGAAAGAGGCTGTCCCAGCACCCCCTCAGAAGGCAGGGCCTGTGACCACCCAGGTCAAGGCTGAAAAGACCAAGGAAGACTCAGAGAGCAGTGAGGATTCATCAGACAGTGAGGAGGAGGCACCAGCAGCTATGACTCCAGCTCAGGTAAGGACACAGCTACAAAGCCTGACTTGGGCCACCCTCATGCCAGCCCAGCAGGAAGCAGACTGCTTCTTAGTTAGAATATGGGTTGTGGTTGTAGGGAAAGACAGCAGAGCTGCACCCCAAAACAGATTGGGGTCTGAATTCAGGCACCTTCTCCAGCATTTGTCTGCATTGTCCCCACAGGCAAAACCAGATCTGGGACCTCAAACCAAGGTTTCCACCAGGAAAAAAACCTCTATCACTCCTGTATCTGCCAGGATCACCCCAGTGCAAATAGGTACCCCAGCCCCCTGGAAAGCAGAAACAGTGACTTCTCCAGTCTACCCATCCTCCTCCACTGTGGCCTGGGGTTCCCAGAGGCCAGAGAGTGAGGCTATTCCTGCAGCATCAGTGACACAGGTAAGGTCTCCTTTTGTCTGGCTGCCTTGGCTGTGGCCCTCACAATTCCCTGGGTCCCTGTGAGACTCTCTTCAAATCATTATTCCAGGGGAAGTCTGTGGGGAAAGGCCTCCAAGGGAGAGCTGCCTCTGGGCCAGGGGCCACCTCAGCACACCCTGGGAAGAGGGAACCTACAGGTGCCCCAGTCAGAGCTGAGGCTTCCGAAGACTCTGAAAGCAGTGAAGAGGAATCCAGCAGTGAGGAGGCTGCAGTAACACCAACACAGGTGAGGCTTAGGAGGAGCCAACCTGGGCCACCACACCTAGCCTGGGACTGCTCCTGTTGCCGGGTATGTGTAAGCTGAGGCTTTTGCCTCTCTCCCACCTTTGCTGTCCACCCAGCAGAGTTCTGGAGCCTCTTCTGTGGCCTTGTTTCCACAGATCCAGGTGCTGTCCAGGGTGCTGTGGCCCTGGCCCTCAGGGAGGTCCCCTTGTGTGCATGAGCTGTTCCAGCAGGGTGAAGTGGGGCTGTGGGAGAGGGTATGCACCAGGGCTTACCCACCAAGACAGGTGGTCACCTAGGACTTTTCAGAAGGAATGGCAGCTAAGCCAGGGGTAGAATTTGACTGTGAGGCAGATGGTAAAGTACACCATCAGAGAAGCAGACTGAGCAAAGGCCAGGAAAGCTTGGCTTGAGGGATTCCACACGCAGCTGGTGTGAGGCACTTGGTAGGATCTGGAGCAGACTACACACCAGCTCCATGTCCTAGCAAGTGATGTGCCCACCAGGGCTTTGGTTGCTCTCCTCTGCGTTGGAAATCAGTTCTCCCTATGTGTGTGAGAATATGGGTAGGAACTCCCCTGCACACTAGCCAGGGTCCTGCGTCGGGTGCGCTTTCATGTGTCAAGTCACCTGAGGGAGGCCCACGTTGATGTGTAGCAGTCAGGAGTCAGACCTCCCAGCCAGGAAAGCAAGGGGAAGTAAAGATGGCTCTCTGCCCACCCTCCCATACCCCGTGTTTTTTATTTTTAATTGCCACTCTTTTTTTCACTAACGACTCAGAAATGAGTTATTTCTTTTTTTCCTGGACACGTTTCTCTGAATTTTTTGGTCCCCTCTCCTTGATGACTTGCACCCAAGGTCCCAGGATTCCTGTTCAGAGGTTTTAAGGTGTTCCAGGCCTCTCAGTCTCTCTGAACAGATTCCTCCCCTCCTGCTTGGGCTGCAGACACTTGCCAGACCCAGCACCTCCCAGGGTAGCATTGTGCAGATCACTTAAGTATTTGTCTTCCCACTTGAGCCTCCCACCTCTACCATGAGGGGGCTGTTTTATTTTTACTCTCTGAACATGATTATTTTCAAGTGGGATGTTTAATTTCCAAATATCTGGAATTACCCAGGTGCCTTTCTGTTGGTTTCTAACTTCACTGCGCTGTGGTTGGAGAACAAGCTTTGTGTGAATTCAGTCTTGTTTTCTATAGGGAGGTTTGTTGGTTTGAGGGGATCTTCATGTCTTGGGTCTGTGTCTTGCCGCAAGTCTAAAAGGCAGGACTGCCCCCATGTGACAGGGTGCTATCCTGATGGGTTCTTTGCCAGAACATTCAGTCTGCCCTGAGGACCTTTCTTTCCTCAAGTTGTAACATCACACAGATGAGTGGGGCTTGGGGCTAGAAGTGTCTCCTGACATTGGCCAGATGAGCTCTCTGAATGAGGCAGAGCTTAGAGGTGTTGCGTTTCTGAGTCTGTCTCACACTAGCAGGCTTGCTTTTTCCCTCCTGCCAAACATCGTAGAGGTTTCCCTCTTTGTCACTCTCATCCCTCTGCCCTGTATTTGCTGAAGACCCTGAAGGACATTGTGGAAGTTCTCTAGATATTGGTTATGATTAGGTTAAACAGAAAAAAACAATGTTTTCAACAACAGTGCAGGGAAACATTGTTTCCAACAACAGTGTTTTTCTATCTTGTTCTATTATCCTCTGTAATGGCTCCTCCCTCATAGACTAAGATGGCGTTTGAGTTCCCTCGATTACCCCAGCATTCTAGCCAGCAGAAAGGAAGAAATGACGTTTCCTGTCTTTATGGCATTCAGCTTACATTGTATTAAACAGAATTTAATGAATTCAAGGCTGAAAAGGAGCCTAGAAAGCGTCTTTGTTCTGGGTAGTCTTATGCTGAGCTAATATTATTACAATATTAGGTTTGAGTGTTTATTAGGTGCCAGGCACTATTTTAAACATTGAATCTCCTATTTAATCCTTACAACAACCCTAGAGGTAGGCCTCATTATGCTCATGTTACAGAGGAGGAAACTGGGTGAGATCAAAGAGTTTTCTTAGGTTAACACAGCTGTTAAGTGAAGGAGCCAGAATCCCAATTCAGTGCACAGTCAGTGTTCTTGGCGCTCACACTCACCTTCTCCCTTCCCTAATTCCCTTCTTTCCTTCTAGGCAAAGCCCTTGGGGAAAACCCCTCAGGCCAAAGCCAATCCAGCTTCCACCAAGGCAACTTCAGTCAAAGGGATGGTGCCTGGAAAGACCACCACTGCAGTCACCCAAGCCAGACAGGGCACCCCTGCCAAGGCAAGTGGGACAGAACCACAAGAGGAGTCAGGCTAGGGCAGAGGGGACCCAGCAGTGACCCAGCTGTGGGTGGGCAGGGGAACCTTATCGTGATCACACTGTAATGGGAGCTCCCCCTTCTCTTCCAATGCCCTTCCCCTTCCCCTTCCCAATTCAGGGAATGCCACCTGTGAGAACCCCCCAAAACAGTACTGTCTCCGTGAGGGGCAAGGTGTCAGTGCCACCCTTGGAGAAGGCAGGGACAAAGGAGGACTCGGAGAGCAGCAGCAAGGAGTCTGAGAGTGAAGAGGAAGAAGAGGAGGAGTCAGCCCAAGTAGGCCCGGGAGAGTCACAGGTGTGCCTTAGGCCCCCTGACCAGCTCCTTTACCTTCGGAACACCTACCCTCTAGCTCCCTCCCCTCACTCATTTTTCACTTCAGGCAAAGCCTTCAGAGAAGATAGGTCAAGTTAGAGCTGCCTCAGCCCCTGTCAAGAAGTCTCCCCAAAAAGGGACCCCTCCAGTACCCCAAGCAAAGACAGCTGTAGCTGCCCAAGTCCAGCCGAGGAAGCAAGAGGACTCAGACTCTGATTCAGACAGTAGCAGCGAGGACTCGGACAGTGATGGGGAGACACCAGCAGCTGTGACCCCAGCCCAGGTGAGACCTGCCAGGCCTGTGAACCACCACCACACACTCCTTAGTTGGACTATGAATTCAGAACCAAGTGGGAAGGAAGAGCAGATGAAGGCTCTGCCTCCAGGATCCTTGGCCCCACTGCTGCTCTTCCTGCAACCCCCAAGCCAAAGTTGGCCAGATGAAGTGCGTCCTGGATGCTCCTATAGCCAGAAAGGCCTGCACTGCACCAGATGCAGCAGCTCCACATGGGCGAGGCCAGCAGCTCCCATCAAGGCAAATAAGGCCAACCTCCAAAGAAGTCCCTGACAGAGAGTTGTAGGGAAGCTGGGATCCCATGAGTCTCTGGGGAGGTAAAGGAAGTCCCACCCTTGCCCTCAGCCTCCACTCAGCAGGTGCCCCCCAGAGGGGGCTTATCTAGCCTAGGGTGAAGCCTGGGCCTGGGGCAACAGGAGGAAGAGAAGGAGAAACTTTGTTTCCTGCATGGTTTTCTTCCTGGTTGCTGCAGGCAGCAGGGGTGGCTAAGTCCTAAAGAAATTCAGGATAAGAAACTAGTTGGGCTCAGGCATGTGATTAGAAATGGTTAATCAGGCCTGGTAGAAATGATAAATGATGGCAGCTGACACTGTCTCTGTGTCAGAAGAGACCTTAAGAAGGGCAGCTAGGGCAAATGGGAGGGACAGTGCCTTTCCATTTCAGCCAGTGGAGGCCTGGTAGAATCGTGTCCTTATTACAGCCAAATGTTCCCTTTCTTCATACTGAGTTATGGGCTGGGGATGTAGCTCAGCAGTAGAGCTAAGGTTGAAGGAAGACCAGATGCTCATGGGACCCAGGTGGAGACAGGTACCTCACAAAGCAGCATGTGCCGGGGGCAGCCACCCTGCAGGCTGCCAGCAGCTAGTTGCCTCTACTGGGAGTATTAATTGAGGGCCCAAATCCCAGACTAAGCTGTGGGCCTTCCTTGGGCAGGTTTTGATTGTTAAGGTTTCAGTGTGTCAGTCAGGATGTCCCCAGCTGCTGGAGAAACCCCAGTTCAGGAGGTGCAACAACGAGGGTCCTGATGGTCAGAGCAGAGCACAAAGTTCCAGGGTTAGACTCCTGCAAAGGCCATTCCTTCAGTACTGTGACATTCCTGGTGACCAGGATTCTTCCATCTCTGGGCCCCTCCAGCTGCGCGGTAACAGCAGAGCTGCAGGGTCTCGCTGGGCTCCGCACTTTCCCAGAGCATGTGGTGGGAGCCACCGGAACAGAGTTGGGGTTCTGTGAGCAAAGAAGATGCAGGGGCAGGACTACTGGGGGGTCAGCCAACAGTGTGCTTTCTAGTCGTTCCATTTAAAAATTGGGAAATGAAGGGCTGAGGGTGTGGCTCAAGTGGTAGAGTGCTTACCTAACAAATACAAGACCCCGAGTAGTACCCAAAAAAGAGAAGGAAGGAAAAAGGAAAGGAAGAAAGAGAAATTAGTCACTGGGGCCTTCGTGCATTCCAGTAACTCTAGCTATGTGGGAAGCAAAGATTTGGAGGATGGTGGTTCATGGCCAGCCTAGGCAAAACGTTAGTGAGACCTCCATCTCAATAAAACAAGCTAGCCATGGTGATATATGCCTGTAATCTCAGCTACTGAGAGGCATAAGTAGGAAGGTTGTAGTCCTGGGTCGCCCAGGCAAAAAATGCAAGACCCTACCTGAAAAATAATTTAAGGCAAAAGGGCCTGGGAGCATGACTCAAGTGGTTGAACCCCTGCCTAGCAAGCACAAGTCCCTGAATTCAAACCCCACTACAAAAAAGAAAAATTGGGAAATGACATGTCACATTCATACTAGGTACTGGGATCTTCTGGCTTCTCTCTTTTTCTTTTTTGGTGGCACAGGAGTTGGAACTCGGGGCCTCATGCTTGCTAGGCAGGTGCTCTACCACTTGAGCCATCCACCAGCTCTTTCTGGTTTCTCTTGAGGAACTGGCAGCCCAGGTCCCACTGCTGAGCACTGAAAGGTGGAGCCTCGACCCCAGCTGGGAGGTACAGAGCTGTCCTGTGCTCTCGCTGGACCTCCCATGAGCTAATGTGATCACCAGCTCCTCTTCTGACCTCAGACTACAGGGCCCGTTGAGCCAGCCATTCAAGTTCAGACTCAGCTCTGAAAGAAAGACAAGCGGGTGGGGGGTGGGTTCCAGTGACTGTGGGGTACACAGGCCAACAATTGTCCTCTGTGCATGTGCCAAAAGACCCTGGAGAGCCTAAGTACTGAAAGGGTGCTGCTCACTGGCTGCATTTCCTCTTCAGCTAATGTACCTTCCCCCATCATGCTTATTCAAGTCTTGTCCCCTCTGAAGGATGGTACTTCGAACACTGCCAGAAGCAAGGCCCTGGCCCCAGCACCTGCGAAGAAGAACACAGAAGGGTCCTCAGACAGCAGTGACGGGGAGCTGCCGTCAAGCCAGGTACGCCTTACCTGGCTGCACCTTCTCTAAAGATGCTGTAGGTTCAGAGCCACTGTGAGCCTCCTGGGGAAGAGGGCAGATCTTCCCAGACTCACTAAAGCTTTCTGCTTACTCGTTCTCTCCCTCCCTCTCACTTTCTCTCATTCTCACTCTCTCTTTCTGGGTGATACTGGAGTTTGAACTCAGGGCCTTGCCCTTGCCAGGCAGGTGCTCTACCACTTAAGCCAGCCACACCCCCACTTTTTTTTTTTGGTTTTGTTTTACAAATACGTATTTTAATTTAACATTATATTAAAAATAATTTTTATAGATTTTTTAAATTTGTTTTTCCCTTATTGTCTGTTGGGTACAGTGTACATTGTAGCATTTACAGAGGTTCTTAAAGTGTATCAAATATATCATATTTGTATTCACCCCCTCTACCACTCTTTATTTATTTCTTTTTTTTGCTTTAGTTATTTCTCAGATAGGGTCTCATGCTTTTTGCCCAAGGTGGGCCTTGCACTGTGATCCTCTTACCTATGCTTCTCAGGTAGCAGGGATTTGAAGGCATGTGCCATCATGCCTGGCTTGTTGGTTGAGAATAGGGTCTTGTCAACCTCGCTAACTTTTTGCCTGGGCTGACCTCAAACTGATATCCTCCTGATCTCTGCCTCCCAAGTAGCTAGGATTACAGATGTGCGCCACCAAGCCTGGTCTTGCTCTTTCCACTTGACACACTAGTCTGTCCAGTGGCCCATGAGTACAGTTGGACACACAGGCTTCAGAGCCAGCTGGGGTACGGTCGAGCCCAGCTCCACCCACTAACTGAGTAGGGTCAATTATGATACTTATGTGCTGATGCAAGTACCTCAAGTCCTTGGCACAGCCTCTGCCTGAGCAGGAGTGCCTGTTACTGTCAGGAAGCCAGCTGGTGCTGCCATTTGACAGGTGTTACAAGTTGAAGTGACTTCCTATCTCTTCATGAAGAGGCTGAGGGAGCACACAAACACTGCTCCCCAGCTCCCTGTGTGTCCTTGTTTCCCACTGGGGACCAGGAGCCATCACGGCAGCGCTCCTTAGAATTCTGTGGGCCTCATCCAAGATTGGACCTGAACACCTGGAGTACCCACACCCCTGGAGTGTCATTCATTATCTCTTTCCACATTGTATGCCATGTTCTCATCAGTCATCAAGCAGGTCTGGTGCTGCTCTTGCACCCAGGGATGGGGTAAACACCTTCCTGAGTGCCAGGCATTGTGCTGACCCCACAAAAACCAGGTCTTTTTTACTAATCCCACTTTAAGGAGGAGCAGTGAGGTTCAGACAAGGTACAGGACTTGCCCCAGCATCAATTGAACCGTAGACCATCTACTCACACCTACCTGGCCCATCCCAACACCTCCCTGTCCAAATATGGCCTTTACCCTCCCCCTCTCTGGAGCCCTTATGAGATGAGGCACCTCCTTCTGGAAGGACTCCACACAACTGAAGGGGAGAGGAGAGGGAGGGGCCACCTCCCCTTTCTCTATGGAGGTGGATTAACACAATTAAAATGAACATCATGCTTAAACGGAACTGTTAAATTGGTATGTTAGTCCTGAAGATTCTGGAGTCCCTATAAAAAAGCAGAAGGGAAAAAGCCAACAGTGTGTGTTTTCTTGGGAGGATTTGGAGAAGAGGGGTGCGTCCTGAGGCAGCTGCAGCCCCTCTAATGGAGTTTCAGCTCCTCAGCCTCCAGCTCACTAATTGTAATCACTATCATTATTGAGCCCTTCTCTGTTGACAAGTTTTTTCTCTGACTCTTCAGCCCAAGTTGGCCTCAAACTCTCAATCTTCCTACCTCAGGCCAGAGTCTGCTGTAGCATACCAAATTAAAAAGAAAATGATGAGAGTATGAGGTGATCTATATCTTAGGTAGCCTGATTGATCCGTTCCACAGTGTATACATATATCACACATGTCGTACACCATAATTAATGTAGTTTATACCTGCCGGTTAAAATTAATTATTTTAAAGGCCACTTCTGTTACTTTTCCCAAACAAAAAAGGCATGGGCCTTGCCCTCATAGTTTCAGATTTCATCAGAGAGAAGAGGGAAACCTGTAATAAACCAAACAGGGTGTTGAGTTAGAGCCTGTTCTGAGTGGTTCTAGAAGTAGTTCTTGCCCGGTCCCTGGAGAACTATCTTCCAAGTCTGGATCCAGAACCAGTTTGCTGGTCACCCTGGATGAGGCCACTTGCCCTCTCTGAACGTCAGTCTTCTCAGTCCCTGGAGTGAGACTAGAGGTTTATAAACCTCAGAACTCCAAAGAGTGGAATTACTGAGTTCCTTGGGGCGGAACTGGCCCAGAATACATTAACCAACCCCAGATAGTTGTATTGTTTTTGTGGTGCTAGAGACCAAACCCAGGACTTCATGAATGCTTAGGACATTCCCTGCCACTAGCTATATTTCTAGCAGTTTTGAAGGAGTTCTTGGGAATGTTATCCTGGTGGCTGTGTTCTTTGCTGAGGTCAGCAGCCTGGACCTTCAGGCCCACCTGCACTCTGCCCCAGACTTTCTAGAATGAGGCACAGCTAGGATGAGCTTAGTGGGGACAGAAGGCAGTAGGCACTGCCCAGGGTGCCCTGGGCTTGGCCTGTAGGTGGCAAGGGCATCCCTGGATTCCAGGAGGATCTCAGTGTCCAGCACCCACAGGAAGGTACAGCCAAAGGCTCACTTCCTATAAGTACTCTAGGTAGAAGTGCAGCACCCTACCCCACCCCCACCACACATGTGCTCTGCTGTGCATTTTCCCTGGAGTGAGCAAGCCCAGTTAGGGATTAATTGTCAGCCCTTTCACAGGGGGGAAACTGAGACTCTGGAGTTCAGGGGGTTTAACTTACAGGGCAATCGTGGCAGAGGGTGGGAACAGAAGTGAGTCTCCCACCCACCCTTTTAACTCTACAAACCAGATCATTTGTCCCCTGCCTTGAACAGTACAAGACTGTGAGCCCCCAAGCTCCTGTACTGCCTCTCCCTACCCCTTCCGCCCCTTGGCCAGGATGGGGTGGCGTGGGCAGTGAAGCTAAGAGGAGACTTGTGCTGCTGAGCTGCTTTTAACATTCGAGACGCTATTGTTTGCCTCAGTGGGTTCGCTGCCTCTCTTGGTCCCCGACAATCTGTTCCTCTGTCTTCTCACATATATATAGAACCCCCTCCCTCCACTGCAAGCCTTCTCCCACTTTCCACCCTTCTCCCTTTCATCACGTGGGAAGGAAGGCTCTGGAAGTGGCAGATCAGAGCGGCCGCGGGGGAAGCTGTTTGGCAGGGGTAGGAAGGGCCTAAGCCCAGCAGAGCCTCCACCTTTGGCGGGCACTGTTCTGCTTCACTTTTTGCTTTGCTTTACCTCTCTCTCCATAGCTTCTGTGGGTGGCGGGCACCAAAGCAGGCCCAGGAGGCAGGCAGGGTTGTGTAGCCAAGACCTAGCCCAGACCTAAATGCCCACCTAGAAGTCTTTCTGCCTCACATATCCCCCTTGGCCAAGACATGAACAGACCTGGAACTTCCTGGTATATGGTGGCACATTATGGAACTGTGGCTCCTGGCCAGATTGACCTGCCCAGAACAGAGAGCTGCTGTTGCTGCTGCTTGCTTTTTCTTTTGTTTTGTTTTGTTTGTTTGTTTGTTTTGCAGTACTAGGGATTGAACTCAGGGCCTGTTGCTTGCTAGGCAGGTACTCTACCACTTAAACTACTCTGTCAGCCTTTGCTTTTTCTCTTACTGTCCTATTGAGAAGTGCAAAGCAGACCCAAAGGTGAAATAATAAAGCTAGGAATTGTGACACCGACCTGTAATCCCAGCATTATAGGCTGAGGCAGGTAGATCACAAGTTCAAGGCCAGTGTGGGCTATATAGTGAGACTCTGTTTAAAAAAAAGAAGTAGAGATACAAAGAATGTAGGGCAAATAGTTCATGAGACCCCGTCTCAAATAACCCATTACAAAAAAGGGCTGGTGAAGTGGCTCACAGTGTAGGCCCTGAGTTCAAGCTCCCATACTGCAAAAGAAAAAAAAAAGAAACAAACAAATGTAAAGAACCCATACCCCATCCCCAGCCTTGGCAATCACACGCTCCTGAGTGGGTCACTTCACATATACCTTCCACTCACACCCCCAGAATCCCTAGCTTGCTTTGAAGCTGGTCTTAGACTTGCCATTTCATCTACCAGGATTGCATTGTGCACTTTGACTTAAAATGGTAAGGACCATCTTTTCCTTTCTTTCTTTGTTTTCTTTGACGCACAACCACAATACAGTATTACATCTGAAAAATTGACACACACCAGACAACATCCCTAGTTCTCTGGGTTAGCTCATTAATGGCATTTTTTATATTTGATGTATTTAAATAAGAGTCCAAATAAGGGTCGCACTTCATTAAGTTATTGATCCCTTACATCTTAATCTATTGGTTCTTTCCTACCCACTCACCCTGTTTCTTTGCATACTCTATGTGTTGAAGAAACTAGGTCAGTGTAGCTGGGGGCTGCATCAGAGACTCTGGGGTGGCAGCAACTAGACTGTAAACACCTCCCTGGGGAAATCATATAAAATGGCCAGGCTGCTGTGGGAAGTGCTTTTTAGAGCCCCCACACTCAGCAGGTGGCCATCCCTGAAGTTAGCCAGAGAAAAGAAGGCCAAATTAGACATTCTGGCCATGGCTTTGCTTCCAGTAGCCTCTGTGGTCTTAGACACCTCTCTTTCCTTTCTGGACTTGTGGCTTTCCCACCTGCACAAGGAGCTGACCCTGCTGACCTTGGGAGTTCACTGTGAGAGTCAGATGGGCTCTCATACACCCTGGGGCCATGTAGAGTGTGAGTGGATTTTGGTAGGTGCATGGGGTAGGAGATGGCTGGGAGTGATGTGGGCAGCTTGGGCTGTCCCCAAGCTCCTTGGACCTCTTGCCTTGTAAAGCTTCCCCGACTCCATCTTCTCCTTACCCTCACCAACAAACCTTTAGTCACTGTGGGCTGTGTTTTGTTTTTGTTTTTCAAGGTCATTAAAACCCCTCCGATTTTTGTCAACCCTAATCGTGGTCCAGCTGGCCCAACTGCAACCCCCACACAATCCCGGGCCTCAAGCTCCCTGAAGAAAGCTCAGGCCACGGACAGCACCACTGGGAGCTCCTCCTCTGAGAGCGAGGACAACAAGGATATGATTCCCATCAGGCATTCCTCCACTCCTGGTGAGCTCAACCGTGCATGGTGCTGATGGCCCTGATATGCCTGCCAGGCTCAGCTGGGAGGGACTGCTGCCACCACTCCCCATTGAGGCCAGACGGGACAGGATGCTGGCCAAGTGGCCTATCAGGGCATTGGTCAGAAGGGCTTGGGGCCAGGTCTCAAGGCCTTGCATTGTCATCCTGATGAGGTGCTGCCTCAGACCTCTGGTTCTGGAGGATTTATGTCCAAGGCTTCTCTGCCAGCTCCAAGCATGGAACCCAGGACAGTGGCTTGAAGCTGCAGGGACCAGGATCCTAGATCCTCTAAGGAAGAGCTCTGTAATAACTGGGTGGTCAGAGTGGTAGTGAGCTTCCTGTCTTCTGGCACATAAAGGGGATTAAGCATAGACACTCAGGGATGGATTTCATCCATATCACCTATAATCCCACTGCTTTGAACATTTTACACTTGATAATTTTACCAAAACCTAAGCTATTCCTGAGGGTTTTCATGTAATGCTCAGTCACTTCAGTGGGTATATTGGAACACTTGCAGAGTTTTGTCATTTTGTATTTGCAGCATGATTCCTACTGGCTGCAAAGGAGTGCAGTAGTTTATTTAGCCAGTATTGTATTGGGGACATGGAGAGTCTTGTTTGCGCTGTGATAAACACCTCCCCCAAGCACCCATGTGACTAAGCCTGTGTACAGCTCCTAGCTGATTCCCAAAGAGGCTATCTTAACTGCCAGGAGTGTGGGGCACCAGTGTCCATCACACTGCTCCGGAATGGGGCTTGCCTGGCCTACAGGAAAGGGAATGGTAAGACCTGGGGTCACTGCCAGAGCAGCCATTTGGTGTTCCTGAGCCTTGTCAAGTGACATGGCGACAGCTCTCCACTGAGAGATACCTGAGAACAGCACCAGGTCTCCAGCAAGGACTGGTTATTGGGTAATGCCAAATGGGGCGCCGTGTAGCTCCTGTGCCCTAATGTGCCCCCTCTCCTCCATTCCAGCTATTAGAAACAATGTGGTAACTGTGCCTGCTGTCCCCACAAGGACAGCCCCCAGAGCTGGCAGCAGCGAGGAGTGCAGTCGAGTACCAAAAGGCAAGAAACAGGAGGTGGCGACCTCTCAGGTACTGGCAGCTAAAGGAGGGCTTGCACATCAGTGGGGCAGGGTCCCCACTCTACTGCCTCGGCACGTGCCCATGGCTTGCACTGAAGCGGCTGTCTCCCACCCCTGCGGCATTTGTCTCCAGCTGTGATGCAGACTCCACAGTCACCTCTGCATTGTTAGGAAGAGCAGTCACAGAGCTAGCTCTGCTCTTAGAACTCCTTGCTACCCTTTCAAGGGTGGCTAGGCTTTGAGTTTGTTTCCTTCTTTCTCTCAGTCTTGAAATATTCAGAACAGTGACTTCAGCAGTCTTCCTGACCATCCCCATTTTCAGTGCATTGTTACTTGGCTCTTGCTTGAATCCAAACACTGACAGGGTAAAGTAAGTAGCCTATTATTGTTCAGATGATAAAACTGAGTGCACACGCCACACAAGAGCTGTGGTTTGACGAGGATTGGGCAAGACCAGCACTGAAGTCTCCTTATTCCATACTGTTCTCTTTGAACCTTATGGTTTTATCTTCCCATCCCATGAAGAGGAAGGATACCACTGCACACCACCCCTTCTGAGGGGCAGGAGAGGACAGTGGTGCTGGGGGAGTTGGACATCCCTAGTTTGGGCCAGTGTGTCACGAACTACAGCCCAAGAGCTTCTGGAGTGTGGGTGCCAGGTGGGTTGATGGGCTAAGGTCACCCTGCCCAAAAACCCTGCATCTATTTGTCTGCTCAGCCAGCAGATGGTGCTGAGCATCTGCCCATGCCAGGTACTGGGCTATGGCAGAAACAGGGTAGGGAGGGTCTCTGTCTTCCTGGAGTTCCCAAACCATTAAATCCCTCACCAACTGCTAAGTGCTATGAAGAGAACAACAGAATAATGGGGTAGCCTACTTTAGGAAGGGTGGGCAGGGAAGGCTTCCCTGAGGAGGGAAAGCAGGGAGCATCTTGCAGGCAATGAGTTCACAGGTGCCAGGACCCTAGGGGACTGGAATGGTTCAAGGAGAATTGAGAGAAGCCAGAACTGATAGCATGAAGTAGTTACGGGCCTAGGCCATGGCTGGGCTGTGCAGATTCCAAAGGGCTGAGGGAGGCTCTCAGCAAAGACTCTTTAAGTTCTTCAAGTTCTCTACGTGGCTGCCCATGGGTATGGGAAATAAGAGTGCAGCAGGGGGAGAATCCAGCTAGAGATGTATCACCAAGGAGAGCACCAATTGGGCAGTAGACTTCCATTCCCTCTCCTGGACTGGGAACTCTCTGTGCCCTTTGAGAACAAAGTAATTTGCTTATTATCTAGAGCCTGGCACATGTCTTTTTGCCCATTTGGTGACATTGCCCCTTTAATCAAAGGGTCCCCCTTATTCCAGCCAGCCAGGATCTGGCAAAGCATGGCATAGATGACATTCCAAGAACCCATGGGTCTCAGGCTGCCTGTCACTGTCCACAGGTGACAAAGAGGAACCTGGCATCCCTCCCATTGACCCAAGCCACTCTGAAGGTCCTCTCCCAGAAGGCCAGTGAGGCCCAGCCTCCCGCCAGGACCCAATCGTCAAGTGGGGTGAGCTTGGGGAGCTGGAGAACAAGACTTGTCCAGCTCTGCTCCCAAAGGTGCAGCTGGGTTCACCTCATAGCCCTGCTATAGACATGGCCTTATGTCCCAGTGCTAGCCCTTACCTTTACTTTCCTGGGCCTCCATAGCCTGGTACACAGGAAAGGACTGCAATACCCACCCTAGAGAGTTGTAGGAAGGGTGGCATGAGGCCCCCTGCATGGTACTCCTCACACAGTGCTCCTGTCTCAGTTCTCGGTGAGCACCAGACCCTAACTTCTTTCCACTCTTCCTCCTTTTGCCAAATTTAGGGTGGCGGTACTGTGGGAGCACTCCCTATGACACGTCCCCAGAACACCACTGTCCAGGCCAGAGTGGCCAACAAGCTCAGAAAACCCATACTTCCTGAGGGCCAGCAGTCTACAACTACTCCCTCCAGCCACACCAAAGCCAAATCCCCTGAGAGCTCAGATGACAGCGAGGACAGCAGCGATGCCTCTTCAGAGCGCAAGGAGGATGCCAAGGGACCCCAGATGGCCAAGTTGACCCCCAGGCTGGGTGAGGGTCCCAGGAGGGAGGGCAGGGGGTGAGTCAGAGCCTAGTGGAACCCCTGGACTCTGGCCTCAGCCCTTTATTCCAACGTGATCTTAAGCCTTGGCGGCATTCTCCCACACTGGGCCTATTTACCCACCTTTACAACTCCATGAGAAAGTCCGTCTAAATAATTTCAGAGACCTTACTCTACTATTTAACCACTGACAGCTTTTTGGTATCAGGTTTCCTTTATTGAATCCCCCAAATCCCAGGACTGATTTCTACCATTGGGGAAAGCAGAGAAATGTAAGTGGGAGCTTTAGGAATTAGGAATGAAAGCTGTGGCATCCAAGTGTCTCTCCTTGAATGCCATGGCTAGTGTTGATGGGGGCCATAGGAAGCCTTGGCCACAAGGATGAGGAACATGCAGAGTGGGCCTCCTGTAGGGCTGTGCCCTACCTGACTGATGGCCCCTAAAGATCCCTAACAGGATACCTTTGCTTCTCCAGCAGGTCCAGCCCCCTCCAGGAGGGAGACTGTGGTGGAGGAGACCACAGCAGAGTCCAGTGAGGATGAGGTGGTGGCACCTTCGCAGGTAACTGCCAGGGTGGGGCTGGCAGCCTCACAGGGGTTGGGGCTGCAGTCTTAATTAGCTCTTGGCCATCCCTCACATCAGGCATTTGGCCCTCTCCTCTTCCTGTGCCAGGCAGTATCTTGCCTGCAAGCCATCAGTTATGGCCCAGCCAAAAGAATAGAGCCTTAGTCTCATGCTCTGAGTCCCTACTGAGTATAGGGTCATAGTAGTTAACCCCACCTCTGGGTCTGTGCGAAGGAGTCACCTTGATTCTAGGTGATGCCCAAACAAAAACATTCCTTGACATACCTCTTTTAAGGTTACTTTCTGTGTACGGCATGTGGTAGTGATCTTACATATGCATTAGTAATAAGAAATTTCCTTTCTAAATGTGTCTGAAATACATATTAAAATAGTTCAGGAGGCACACAGAGGGCTGAAGTCCCCCTCTCCTCAGTGCCCACCCACCTGCACTGAGAGGGCTGGCCTGATTCAGAAGTCTCTGGGCTTGGTTTCCTCACAGCAGGTCATGCAGCAGGGGCCAGGGTGGGTGGGATCACGGCCTCTTTCACACTGGGCTTCTTCAGTCTCTCCTCTCAGGTTATGTGACCCCTGGGCTGACCCTAGCCAATTCCCAGGCTTCAAAGGCCACTCCCAGGCCAGACCTCAACCCCTCGGTTTCTTCTGCCACCAAAGATAACCCAGATGGCAAGCAGGAACCAGAGTCCCAACATGCAGTGGGCAGCATGTCCCCTCAAACAGGTGAGTTGGAGGACAGCAGTATATAAAGAGACAAGGCAGTGGGCCACTTCTTGCCGTCAGGCTACCAACAGTCCCACCCACGTGGCTCTACATGAGAGCTGGAGGTGCTTACCGTAGTGGTGTGGCTCCCACTGCCTGGGCAGCTGGGAAGCAGGTGTATCCAGCCCTGGGGAGTTGCTGCAGCTGTGAATAATGGCTGCCCAGAGTAACCAGTGTCCTGGGCTTGTGTAATAGACCTTGATCTCATCAGTGATCCATATGGACTTTTCTTCCCAGCAGATGGGCTCACGATGTAGGTGTCAGGGCTCAGAGTATAACTCAGGTAAAGGCTAGACAGTCAGCACGTCTAGGAGACCCCAGGCAGTAGACTAGCTCCAGGGCTGCTCTGATTCACTCTGGAACCTTGACAAGTCCCTGGCCACCCCAAGCCCCTCTGTCCTAACCATTCGAGGCAGGAACGATGCCTCCAGGTCATACATACTAAGGTATGACATAGAGGATATAGCCACATGGCATTTGAGGACAGATGGGAGGACCCAGGAATGGGTGGGGAGCTACTGGGCTTCCTGCATGGCCCCCAGACTCCTGGTGAACATTTCCAAGATCCAACCACTGAGTCCCCTTTAGAGCCCAGTGTTAGGAGTTTTGCATGGCCCAGAAGGGGATGGAGATTCACCCAGATCACCTGGAAGGTTAGAGGCAGTGATGGGGCCCAGTCTTCAGGCATTTAGCTGAAGCTTCCCCATGCTGGACCAGGAGTGGAGTCATTGCTCACTTTCTTCCCCAGCGTTCTCTGTGTGAGAGGCGGGTGTGACAAGGAGACATCTTAGAGGGGGCTGTGGAAGGTTTTTTTTACATGTGTAGTCAGCACACAATTATCAAAGGCAAGCAGAGGCGTGGAAAATTCTAAACAAAGGCTGCACCAGAAGTCACTCTGGCAGGCAATAAACCTGCTTAGTCAGCTGCCACGTGCATGCACAGCACACCCAGTGTCCCCCCAAGCTGCTGGGAGCCCTGGCCAGGCCCAGGACCCACTGTGTGTCGATGGCTATAACTGAGGATCTGCAAAGTCTTCACCTTATTGTCAGTCTAGATTTACGGTAGGGGCCCACACTGCTCATTCAGCTCTTCATTTCTCATTCAGGGAAATAGGCCTGTAGAGGAGCCAGGACCAGGCTAGAGTCACATAGTGAAGTGGTAGCACAGACAGACCTAGAACTCGGATCTCCTGCCTGTCTGACCTTCCATCTTGTTGATGATAGGTTTCAGGTCCTCTCGTTAATTCTCAACATTGTGTTTACTGTCTATCCCCCAACTGGAACTTGATAGGGTTTACACAAAGAAGAGCTCTTAAGTTAGAAGTGAGATCTGAGCGTGAGGAAGGCATGAGCTTAGGAGACTAAATGGGCTTTGCTTTTCCCATCTGTACCATTGTAAGTATGGTGGGGTGGCCATTCTTCCCTGCACCCCTTCAGCTCTCACTATGATAGAACTGTCCCCCCACGCTCTCAGACCTGTGACTCAAGTCCTTTTTCCACAGGTAGAGAAGAGGCCAGCTCAGGCACCACACCTCAGAAGCCCCGGAAGCCCAGGAAGGGAACTGTGAACTCCACAGCTTCAACACAGACTCTACAGAGCAGCATCACACAGCACCTCCTGGGCCAGCACTGGTCCTTGACTGAGGCACAGGTGCAGGCGTCAGTGGTGAAGGTCCTGACGGAGTTGCTAGAGCAAGAGAGAAAGAAGGCTGCAGGTACTGCCAAGGAGAGTGGCAGGAAGGGCCAAGCAGGCCAGAAGCGGAAGCTGTCTGGGGACCAGCTGGCTACTGGGGCCCCCAAGAGCAAGAAGAAGAAGCAGCCAGCAGTTGGGGAAGGTGGGGAGGGTACTGTTTCTCCAGGAAAGGTCTCAAGGACTTCCAAAGGGAAATTAAAGAGAGACAAAACAAGTGACGATGTCAAGAAGAAGGAGAAGGGACCTCCTGGCTCTCGAGGGGCCAAGGACAAGCCAGAAGGGGAGCTGGGAATGGTTGAGGGTGGAGATCAAAATGATCCAAAGAGCAAGAAGGAGAAGAAGAAATCCAATAAGAGTAAGTAACCCTTTTTCCCCAGGCATACCCTGAAGGCTGTCAGGGACTTCATTTCTCCTATGTAGAATGAAAGCCTTGAAAGTGGTTTGTGCAGGGTTGCAGGGCACCTAATGGCAAAGCCAAAAGTAGATTACAGAGCACCTAGGCCAGCACTGTGGGGCTGCCCCTAGAGCACACAGAGCCCCTTATAGCATCCTGTAGTAAAATCTGCTTTCAGACAGGGAATGGCATCCTTATCACCCCTGCCTCAAGTCAGCAGATCTTGGAGGTACGCACTTCTCCTGCCAGCTCCTGGGGTGCAGAATCCAGAAATCAGGACAGGGAAGTCCTCATCACAAACCCATCTTTTCCCTAAGCCTCAGTTTCCCCATAGTAATAGCAGCCTTTTATTGTACTTCATGCATGCAGTAGGATTTCCTTCCATCCTCATGCCAACCCTGTACAGTAGGGGTTATTGTATTCCCATTTTATAGGTAGGAAACTGGTGAAAAGGAGAGATGCTGCTTTACTGAGTGTACCCAGTTCCAGTCCTAGTCAGACCTCTTGAGCACTGTCCATCAGTGGCAGAAATTAATGAGACTATAGATGTCTGGTGACCTGACTGCTCCAGAATGAGGGCAGGGGCACCCTCAGAGTGGGACCTGCCAGTAGTTGGTGCTCAGAACTGTACCGGACTCCCACTTTTCTTTTTAAATAAATGTATGGGAGTTTTAAAAAGTGAGTTAATTTGCTGGATGTGATGGTATGCCTGTAATCCCAGCACTTGGGAGGCTGAGGCAGGAGGATCAAGAGTTCTAGGCTAGCCTGGGTTACATAACAAGACCCCATCTTTAAAAAAGAAAGAAAGTGTTCATTTAGGGCTGGGAATGTGGCTAACAATGGTAGAGCACTTGCTTAGCATGCTTGATGCTCTAGGTTCAGTCAAGTACTTGGAGCTCTACAGGTTGAAGTTTGATTGACCCCAGAATTCAGGAGTAATATTTGTTGTTCAGGAAGCTTATTTTTTCCCCCTCAGAAAAAAAAGACAAGGACAAAAAGGAAAAGAAGAAGAAAGCAAAAAAGAATACAACCAAAGACCCTGACTTACAATTCCAGAAGAAAAAGAAGAAAAAGGTAAAATTAGTTTTTGAGGGGTATCAGTCCTATCTCATGCCCAAGATTGGTCCCTGCCCCCTTTCCATTCTCAGGCTCTTATAAGGGACCTTGCAAAAGATCCCAGCAGGTGCCACATCCTCTGGAAGCCTTAGGAGTGTCCCTGTCTTGTCTGTGAGGTAGAAGGATGTTGGGGGTAAAGAAGAGAGGGCAGGAGACCTTGTAGGCTGTTGCAGTCTTCCAGGTGAGGTTAAACATTGCCTGGGCGATGTCCCAGCTAGCATAATTTTCTCCCTGAAGAAGCCTGCACCCATTTATTTCATGTGGGTCAAAGGCTTATCCTTTGTGTGTGGCCCAGACCTCAAAACTTTAGACATGGATGAAGTTCTTACCACAGCTGTCACAGCCAACAGGGCCTGGCGCATCAGGAAAGCCTAGCAACTAGCACTGCAGGCCCTCAGCAACTTCCTAGAGGGCACATGAGACACCAACCCTGTAGACCCAGCTACCTGGGGTAGCTGCCAGGCCCCAGTAGGTGGGTGGCAGCAGGAGGGAGAACCACAGGAGTGAGAACCTGTTGTACTTCTCTCCTCACAGAAGAAGACAGCGGAGCAGGCAGTATGAGGGTCGTGCACAAGGTGCAGGTATGCTTCCTGACCATTCTACTCTTCTGTGCAGCTAGATTAGCCCCCCAGGGAAGGAAGACTGGCGGAAGAAAATTCCATTCTTCAGGGCCTGTGGGTCCAGAGCCTGAGGCTGGAGCTGTAATTGTAGCATCTACAGAATCTGTGCAAGCACTTGAAGTGGTGCCCCTGCCCTGGTTGGGGATGCTGGGCTTTATTCCCCTTGGTGGAGAAAAGGATCAGAAAATCTGACATCTGATTGTTTTCTTCCCCTAGGGATTACTTAGCAGAGTGGTGAGCATCCCCATGCCTCTGACCTCTGCCCACCAAGGGTTGGGACCGGATTTTTAACTTCCTTTCCCTCCATAAAGATGGCCAGCCCCAAGATCCTGTGCTGGCCAAGCAAGTGAGCCTGCCGGAGACCAGTCCAAGGAAGACGTAGCCCCATTCCTGGGACCCTAGCCTCTGCCCCCAGCATGGGGCATTTCATATAGATGTGTACAGTATATATATTTTTTTAATTTACCTGCCTATCCCCCTTCAAATCCAACATGCCCAAGGCCTTGGGACCCTCCACCCCCGCCCCCCACCCACCACACACACACAAACACGTTGCTGAGCAGATCCAGCCAGGCCCAGTTGCAGCTCATCCCATGCTACTGGGTCTCTGGCTGATCCCAAGGCTTTGTTTTCTTGCTAGTTTTTCTGGTTGTGGTTTTTGGTTTTCTTTTCTTTTCTTTTCTTTTTTTAAGAACTCAAAATAAAAGACTTAAAGGAATTCCTAGTTCATCTGGGGCAAATACTGCAGTTGGCATTTTGGGCAGGACAGTCTGGTGAACCCTGGAGGTGAACAAGCCAGCCCTCCATATTTCTCCTAGGCTGCATGTTGAGGCCCCCTGGGGCTGAATTGGTGGAGAAGGCTTCCTGGAGGAGGTGGCATCTAAATAAGAGAAGCTGAAAGATGGTTACTGGATGCTGGAGCACAAATACCCACAGGGAAGAAAGGGAAGGGGCCTTTTGAGTTAGACTTCAGTGTTCTGGGTCTCTAGATGTGGTGGTGGAAAACAACTGTGGCAGGTACAGGAGGAGCAGGAAAACCAGTTTAGACATGACATGAGTCGTTCATGTCACCCTCATGACAGGTAATGGTGACTGTGCTGGAGAACGCAGGAAGGGCAAAGCAGCAGGGTATGTTGGGTGAGGTCTTCAGGGCTCAGTGATGATTTAGATGTAGACTGAGAGAGGGCAAGGTGGCAAAGATGTTCCCTGCTGTTGCAACCTGGCATTCAAAGACTTACTGCTGCCCCTAGCAGTGTGGAGCACCAGAGGTCTGGAGATTGCACTCCACGCCTCAGCCTAGCTATAACCAGAGCCAGGACGGAAAAAAGGAACATGAGCCGGGCACTGCTGGCTCATGTCTGTAATCCTAGCACTTGGGAGGGTTGCGGTTCAAGGCCAGCCCAGGCAAATAGTTCTCAAGACCTCCATCTCCAAAATGAAACAGAGCGAAATGGACTAGAGGTGTGGCTCAAGCAGTGGAGTACCTGCTTTGCACGCATGAAGCTGAGTTCAAACCCCAGTCCCACTGGGACTGTCCCAGGCCCACTGGGACTCTGTGGGCCAGAGATCTTAGAGACCCAAAAAGGCATCTTGCTGCACTCGGAGCAATGGGCTGTTCTCCAACCCGTCTCTTCCAGAAACCAGAGAAGTGTTAACATTGAACTGCCTTGACCCACAGAAGTCTTAAAGACTTTTAAGTTTCAAGCTTAAAAATGGAGCAGTTTCAGGCAATTTCTCATCCTTGATTTCTGACTCCTCTGGAACTTAAAAGTTGAACACCTGGCAGCAGGAACCTGTGGTTGGCCCTTGGATCTCACAAGGGTGCCCAGTTGGCCACAGCCCCTTCTTCGTGTTCATTTATGACACCCAGGCCCCATGTCTGTTGCCATCTGTCATCACACCCATGCTGTTCTTAGTATAGAAATGGAATTGGGGACATGGGAAAATGGAAGCAGAAACATGAGCTTGTGCTTAAAAAACTGGGCAATGCCAGGCACCGGTGGGTCACGTCTGTAATCCTAGCTACTCAGGAGGATCACAGTTTGAAGCCACCCCGGGCAAATAGTTGCTGGAGTGGCTCAAGGTGAAGGCTCTGAGGTCAAGCCTCAGTACCGCAAATAATAAATAAATAAAAACTGTAGTAGGCAAGAGTATTTCTTGGAATGGAGAGTTATTTGCGTATGTTAAAAACATGCAACTGAGAGTATGTCCAGCCCCTGCCCACAGGCCTCTGTGTTGGGATTCCTTGGGCTGCATTCTTGTACTTGGACGACTAGATTTAGGGTCTTTATTGACCTCCTCATGGTAAACAAACTAGATCCCAACAGAAGAGCCAGGAGCCAAAATGGTCTACTCACTACCTTTTATTCTTGCATGAGCCATGACCGTGAGGGCTGATGACAAGCTTGGCTGAGCAGGGGGACCTGGGGTTTTTACAGGAAGTACAGAAGGAATTTGTTCATGGGGAAGATGTGTTATGTGGACAAGACCAAAGAAGAGAGAACAGCCAATGTGTCAGCCTAGTTTTAGGGGGCAGAGTGTGCTCCCTGTCCATGGGCTTAGATCTCAGAGCCCCACATTGAAGACAGCTATGATGTTGGAAATAGGGGTCTGCCTAGTTTTGGTCCATCTCAGGCTTTGGGTGCCTGTTGACAGATGGAGTGGGAAGCAGGGCCCTCCTGTGTCATCACCTGTGCCATTTCTTATTTAATCTGTCATGTCCAAGGATGATGGAGAGCCAGGTTCCAGAGTGTCATGGGATGAGGTAGGGTGGGAGGCTGGGAGGAATCTGGGGGTACTAGGGAGCAAAAAAGCTGCGGCCATGCAGAGCTGGCTGGCTGCCAGGGTTGGTTTCTGTCCTCACATGATGACTGTAGAGAGAGAAGTAGCAAATTGAGATTGGGGTTACTCATTCATTGTCCCTGCCACTTCCCAGTCTTGAGGCTGCAGAGCAGTCAAGTACTTTCCACTCCTCACTCGCCCCTGCTAGACTCAAGTAGTGCCCATGGGGGTTCAGTTAGCTCCCAGTAATCCCCTAGCCCCACATCTGTGAAATGGTCATCCCAGGGAAATGAGAGAATGGCCCAGGGTCATGCATGCCACTGCAGGTGACCCCCCTCCATGGGGCCCTTACCTTGGCCCACATCCTGCTTAGTCACACCCAGCCCAGAAGTCAGGTCCTCCATATCCAGTGGTTCTGCAAAGGAAAAGCAGGCCCAGTTATTATTTGCAGTCCTGCCACCCCCTACACCCATTGCCACAGTGCCCCAGTGCCCCAGGACGTCCTTCCAAACCACAGCCTCACGCCTGGTAAAGCAGGTGCTGCAGTGCAGAAGTGTGATTGGGGACCAGGGGAGGGGTGGTGTAGTGAGATGGAAGATCTGTGGGACGCCTAGATGCGGGAGGCCGGCGCCTGGAGAGATGTGTGGATGTGAGAGGAGAAAATTACAGGAACAGACAAGAGTGGAATGCCCAGATGAGTGGTGGGATGGGTAAAGGGCTGGATGGATGCATGACTGACAGCCATCCCCAGTGTCCTGGCCCCTGTATACCAGGAGGGATCTCTTGCCCCTCAGCCTTCCTAGTCCTTTCTGGTCCTTCCAGCTGCTGGCATGGTGGCCCCTGCTTACCACTGCAGTTATGGCGCCCGCGGCTCCTGGTGTGAGGGACCTCGGTGCCGTTGGGGAAGACACACCAGCAGTAGCCAATGCTCCCGTGGCACTGTAGTGGCATATAGTTACCGTTCTCGTCGCACTTGGGACGGAACGTGCCTGGGTGGACGGCAGGGATGTGGCTGACCTCTTCCTGGCACTTGGTCAGTGCTGAAGCAACAGGCATGATGAAGACAGTGAGTGAGTGGGCTATGCCCTAATGGCTTTTCTCACTCCATCCATTGCATGGACGGTACAACTGAGGCCCAAGGCCTAGAATTACAAGGTCCAAGATCAAACAGGAAGTGATAGCAGTGTGGCCAATTCACCCTAGAGCTTTACAGTTTCTTCTGGCACTCAAACATGAGTTTGGAACTACTGCTATGACTCAGATTCCTGGAGGAAAGCAATAGACATCTTAGGAAATCTGAGTGCCCTATTTATTACTGGGAGCACCCAAGTAGAAATGGGGAGGTACCATTTGTTGGGGATACTGCAGAGAGGGTTCAAACATCAGCTAGAAGTAGGTCAAGGTAGCTTGAAAGATCTATGTATGGGATGGGGGACAGTGGACTCAGGGCAGGGTGGGTCATTTGTCTTCCACTCCAGGACATTGAGGCCCAGAGGGAAGGAAAGCCCAGAGCTGCCCAGTGAATTAGAGGAGCACCAAGACCAGGACACAGCCCCCAAAGGCTTTAGGGCTAAAATATCCTGATACGCACTGTCAGTGAGGTGGGAAATGCCCAAGGCCTCTCTGGAGTTCTAAGGGCCATGCTGATGAAAGTCCTGCTAGAATTCCTGCATGGTATATGTCAGGTTGGTTTTGCTCCAGGATCTCCTGGACATGTCATCCTCCACGGGGTGGAAGCCTTGTGGTGAGAGGCCTCTATACCACAAGGCGTGTGTGGTGCGAGACCCACAGATGAGATAGGGCTAAGGCAGCCAAGCCCAGAAGAAACAGGCAGGAGAGACAGATAATTGAGAGGATAGGAGGTTGCATGGTGTGAGACTGAGACAGCTGGAGGCCTTGGCCCCAGCACTCCAGGGGGCCCAGAAGGAGCTCCAGAGCCCTGGCACCCTGAAAGCCAGACCTACCTTTGGGTGGAGCCTCAGTGGGCTTCTCCTCCAGAGAGTTCTTGCTCATTTCAAACAAGAGCCACTGGTGCATCCAGCTCTCAAAGACCTGGTATAGAGACGAGCAGTCAGGCCAAGTTGCCATCATAAGTTCCACCCTGCTTAGTTTTGCCCCAGGGACAGAAACATTGAGGGCCAGGAAGGCCCAATACCTAGAGTCCAGCCTCAGCCCAACTCCCCCTTGAAGACCCATAAGGGTTTGTCTAGGTAGTTCCGCAACTCCCATGCTGCAGGCTTTGTGGGAACTGGTAGCCCCCAGCCCACCCCTCACTGCACTTTGGTCCAGTTCTGAGGAGAAATTTGGAAAAGAGAATTCCAGTGCAGAGAAGCCTGCTGACCTTCCAGTCCAGGGTGTTCATGGTGTTCTTCAGGTGTTTCAGGTTCTCTGGTAAGCTCCCCTTCAGCTGCGGGTACACCTTCAGGGGATCAGACTTCTGCAGAGGCACAGGGCAGAAAGAAAGTTAAGAGCTCCCTGGCAGTCAAAGTGAAATAAGCAACCATGTTTCCCTGGTCTTCCATTCTAAGGAGTGGACGTGAACTAAACCACATCTGGCCCTTGGATCTCAGCTATGATGAGAGCTGTACAACTACAGGGCCCAGCTTCCATTCCAGTTCTACCAGGACCCCCAGCCTTCTCCCTATAGACACCTACTCATCTTTCAGGTCTTACCTCCTCCAGGAAGATTCTACTGATCACCCCTGCCTTTCCTCACAAAGCCTACACTTTCCTCCTCACTTAGTCACTTGTCTTCTCCCAAACTAGCCTGGGATACAATGGCTTCAGAATCTGGGTTCATTTGCTCCCCACTGTAGGTTAAGAGCCTGGCACAGAGCAGATGTGCAATAAAAATTTGAGAAGGAATAAAGGGTGTCTTAGGCAAGTCCCTTCCAAGATTTTGGCCTCAAGTTTCTCCATCTCAAAGGCAGGGGTGAAGCTGGGCTGCATATGAATGTTTGAGGGCAGGGCACTCTTGTGTTCTTCTGTGTGAGCATAGTTTACAGTGAGCTTGACATAATGTGGGCACCAGGGTCCTGTGTGATAGAGGGCTGCCCACTGGCTCCCCGCACTCACCAGAAGCAGATGCATCACGTGGTCTTGTGTCATGTTGCCATACTTAGTGGCATTCTGTATGGGCTGTGAAAGGAGGGGATGGGGTTACAAACACTGGCCCAGAAGGAGGGGGCCTACAGCTGAGGTTTGGGTAACAGTCAAGTTCACACACTCAGAGGGCCCGTCTCTGCCACCTCCAAACATGGAGTGTAAGCAAGTTATTTTACCTTCCTGCTTCAACATTGGCCAAGCTGGCATAAGCTTTCCTGCCCAGGGCTTTGCCAACAGCACTCTTGTGGCCAGAAATGTTATTGATATATGATAGTAGGGCTTGGAGAAGGGGAGGGAACTGTAAAATGCTATGGGAAATAAAAAGTGCTTTGTAAAATGGGCCCTCTTCCCAGGGATAGTGCCAACATCAAAATCCCCCACCCTGAGGAGCCACTCCCAAGAACACAGGGCCCCTCCCCTTGGCACCTATCTCCCATCTTGGCTAGTAACAATCTGCCATCCTGGGCTGTCCTTACCCCCTGGAGCAGGCCTTCCATGGGCAGCGCCTGCATCAACAGGGGTGTAGCCACCCGCATCTGGCTCAGAGGCTTGGCAGCTGTAGGGCAGAAAGTACAGCATGAGTGTGGTCCCTGTGCCATGTCCAGGAGAAAGGTGCTCAGGAACAAGGATTGGCCTTAACCCCAGAGGGAAAGGACAATGGCCGAGCTGGGGGGTAGAGATGGGGCCTCTAGGGTGAGGAGCAGTAGGGTGTCAGGATGGAGGTGGGCACGCACGCTTGGGAAGCTTCATGCGCAGGTTCTCCAGCTGCAGGTTCTGGGAGGTGACTGTCAGCTTGTCCAGCCGGCCCTGCTGCTGGTACAGGAAGTAGGCAGTGGTGGCCTGGCCAGCCAGGAGCAGAGCCACAAGAACAGAAAAGCCTGTGTACAAAGCTCCACGTCCGCACTTTCTGTGGGGAGAGAGGTGAAGGTCAGGATAATACAGAGAACCGCTCCAGTGGTTAGCTAGTAGTGCAGGAATGTATGCCCCCATCAGTTCCCCAATCCACCCCTAACACACAAATTAAGCCCACACAATGAGCCAGCTGTGGAGTTACAACTTGAAGATGTTGCTAGTCAGACATGGTGGCTCATGCCTGTGATCCCAGCCCTTGGAGGAGCCCGAGTTCAAGGACAGCCTGGGCTACAGGGAGAGCACCTGTCAAAAAAAATCTAAAAAAAAAAAAAATTGAAATATTTAAATATTGAATTTAAATCAATTTAAATTTAAAAAGAAATAGCTCTTTGAAGACATCCCCAGACCCCTGTTTCCAAGCACTGATGCCCCCAAAGTCCTCCCAAGTAGAAATCCTAGGGCTGCCTCTGGACAAAGGTTAAATGGGAAGGAGCCAAGTTCCTTGCCCTCTCTGTGCCTCAGTGTCCCACATGTGTGGTGACAGGTCAACGTGGAGGATCTCCCCAGATTCCCTATGCCATGGGGATCTCCCAAGGTTCAAGGTTTTCCTCAAGGGGAAACAGTTTTGTTTTGTTAGTTTATTTTTTAGTTGGTTAAAAAAAAGATGCATGCATTTACTATGTAAAGGGCGGGGATTTACCCCCAGCAGCGAAATCAGATTTAAACAGAAAAGGGAAGGAAATGGGACCAAGACAGCACAGAACATGGCCCACCTGAAAAGGAGAAGTGGGGCCTTGACATTTTAGGAGTGGGTTGGAGAGTACTGAACTTCATCGCATCCTCTCCCCCCAGGGACACAGCCTCTGCCCCAGCTTCTCTGTGTGTCCTGAGCAAGTCCCTGCCAGTCTCTGGGCCTCTGTGTATGGGTTGTATGGGTACCGCTCACATCAGCGATTTGAGGATTTGGTGTTCTTCTTTGAAACAATAGCTGGTTGTGACCATAGAAGTGTCTCATGGTGCTATACAACTGGGGACGGGGGGCAGTTCTCATGCTCTCTGAACCTACATCTGTACACTGAGGGTGACCAGACCCTTAAACCGCAGGGAGCCCTTGCAGTGGTGGCCTTGGATAAGGATTTGGGGTGCATACATATGTTACAGTACAGAGGATGTAAGGATGCTATCCAAGACCCTGGGAGTTCCTGCCCTTTCTCCCTCCACTCACTCCCAGGTTGAAACGGGACGCTATTATAACCTTGCTATGGTCTGAACAGGTTCCCTCCAAAATTCAGCTGTTGCTCATGCGATGTGAATGGGATCAAGGGCCCTTGTAAGAGGGGTTGACACCGGAAGTTATTTCTTTGTCCTTCTGCTTTCTGCTACATGAGGACAAAGCAAGAAAGCTGTCACCAGATGCTATGGGAAATAAAAGTCTATTCTTTGTAAATTACCGGCGTGAGGTATTCTGTTACGGCAGCTGAAACACACACTATTGGAAATTGTCAGGGTGAGTCTGCTCCCTGCTCATGCCAGCAACCAGCAAGGACAATTTAGGAAATTCCAGAAAACCCTTCTGCCCAGTAACTCATGATGTCATAGGCACAGCTCATTCTTACTGGCTCTCTGCTAGTCAGTCCTATATGCTTCTTAGTCCAAGGCCCAGTCCAAGAGAGAGTTACTCCAGAAGGAAAAAGCAAAAACTCTTTGTGGGGACAGAGACCAGACAGGAGGGGAAAATAAATTCCACTTCTTAGACTTCCATGGAGGGGGTAGCCTGGGCTCTAAAGACAGTGAAAAGTCCACCCGTCTTCAGTCTTGCCTGGGTTGAACCCAGGTTAAAGCTCATTTTCTCCACATGGGTGACCCACAGCACCCCTGAGCTGCTTCAGCAAACCCACACCTGGTTCTAGTCCCAGTGCTATCTCCTGTTGCATAGTTTCTCAAAAGGCCAACAAATCTAGATATCTATACCGAAGATGAGACCATGCAATTTAACTTAGAAACTTGGTTCTGGACTGTGGGAAAGTCACTTACCCCCTCTATATGAGTAAGATTGGGTGAGAGCATTGACTCAAAGTGTTGTTACATTAAAGAAGATAATGAGGGTAACAGCCATTGGCTCCATACCTAGTGCCTTGTTAGCTCTCTATAAATAAATAACAGCACTGTTCTCAGGGGAGCTAGTAGTTAACTTTAGCATCTGACTTCCTTCCCCTTTATGCCTCTTGAATGCCTGTCCCCTGGTTCTGCCAATTCTTGTCACCCCCACTTTTTATTTCCTCCTTTGCACTGTCTCCTTGAGGAATTAAAAAAAAAAAATAGTAATTGGCCAAAGTCAGGAGCCAACCAGAACTAGAAGGAATCATGATACAGATGTTGCCAGGCAGAATTGTTCATGAAAGGCTCTCAATCAGGTCCAGTCTGGAATGGCCAAGCACACAGGGTGGGGTTAGTTTTAGAAGCAATAACTAGACTAAAGTGAAAACCAGATAAGGATTTGACAAGGGGGGGGCACCTTCTTTGAACACAGAGCCAACTTGGGTCTGCAGCTCACTGGGTGCTCTGATGTCAGAGGGATCCCACCTCCCCTCCCCACAAATCTTGCCTCTAAAGGGGCCAGATGGAAGAATGAGCTCAAACTGAAATCAGACCAGTCCTGGATCAAAATCAGTCTCCAGCACACCAGCTGTGATAATGTGGGCAAGTTACTTACTAATATGAATCATAATTTCCTTCGTGTGAAAGTAGAGATAAAAAAACATACCCAACTCAAAAAAAATCAAATAAAAAATGTACCCAGCTCATGAGGAAACTATGAGATTCAAGATTAAGTTTAATCCTTAGTTATGTGTCTAATAAATAATCATAGTAATAACAGTAACTGAGGGCTAGTGATAAGAACACAGTAGATGGGAACTTATTAATTATCATGGTTATTGTTATTACTGAGACCCAAAGAGAAGCAGTGATTTACCCAAGGTCATCCATGAGAGTAGCAGAACCTGGACCAGAATCATGTTCTCCTGAGGGAGTCAGCCCTCCTGGCCATGAGATTTCCCAGGATTCTCACAGGCTGTGGCTCTAATACTTTGTTTTCCAGAACACAACTTCTGGTGACATCTCTGTGTCTCCCCCAAGCCCTTTCTGCCTGGCAACAGCTGACATCACATCTTGCAAATCCCTATAGATAGCAAATTACTTTTTGGAGTTCAAGGGGAGCAGGCCATGGGGGCCCCATTTGGGTTTTTTGGTGGAGGTAACGTGGCTGAGGCCATCTGAGAGCTGGAAGAAGGGCCTGGGGTTCTTTGATGGCCTTACTAGTCTCTTGTTACAAAAGAGAGGGGCACAACCCACATCAATCCTGAGCTCCTTCCAGAAACTTAGACCAAACTCTCCCTGGTCTTGGAGTTGCTACAGTGATGGTAGACATCTTCATCTGCCCTTCAGACACCTGTAAGCCTAACACTTGATTCAGACACCTATGCCTGCTGGTCATCAAGGGAAACTCCTTTGTGAGGAGCTGCTTATACCATCCGCTTTTAGAAACTCCATTTCTGCACTGGGATTGAGAACATTTTCAAAAAATCTGGTCCAAATTTTCTAACCTAGGTTTGGGCTCAGCATTTTTTTTTTTTGGTGGGGGAGGGGTCTGTGAAGTTCCCAATATTGTGAGACTTTAGGGAGCGAATCCAGGGCTCTGCTGATTTTCAAGGGGTGTGGGGAGAGATACAAAGAAGGTTACAAATCCCTGCTCTAAAGGAGCATACCATTTTACAGGAGGAAGAGAAAAAGCCCAGAGTGGGACAGACACTTGCTCAAAATCACCAGAAAGTCAGTGTTTGAGTCAGATAATCAAGGCAGCTTTCAGGGTGACTTGGACAATGCTTCTTCTAGACACTCGCATGTCTGTGCTGTCCAGAATTTGCTCTCTCCTGGTGCTCACACGTACCTTTCCTGGGCTCCAGGGCGCTGGCCCAGCATGGGCAACTGCTCATGGTTGGAGATGAGGTCACGCTGGTCTTCCATGGCTCTGTCTCTGGTCGTCCTAACTGCTGCTGCTGCTGCTGCTGTTACTGCTACTGCCACCACCGTCTGGAACCCTGAGCCTCTTGGTCACCTCTTGAAGTTGGTGCTGGGGTGAAATCTGATTCGTCCACAGGAGTCCACTCCGCCCACTTGGTAGATGTGGAAGTGAAAGCCACAAAGCTGGAAATACCCCACTCAGGCAAAGCTGCTTCTCTCTCAGGACAGGATGAGAAAGGGGGAGCTCCCCCAGACAGGTAGAAAGGCCAGTGTGATCCCATTGGCTGCCCAGGGCCCTCATCACTTGTTTCCAGGCAGACCTTTGGATTCATAAGGCTCTCTGGATGTTTCCAGAAACAGGCAAATATTCTTTCCCTAGACAGGAAATCACTTTGAAGCAGAAAGTGCCTTTATTTGTCTTCTCTTCTCATCTATGCATGAGTGGAGGCAGAAAGAGAATGTGTACCCTCTGAGAGCTTAAACAAGTCCTTTCTGGTTCATCACATCATGTCAAAATAGGACAGGAAGGTTGGACTTATTGTCCTCTCTGGAACCAATTTTTGCCACCAGTGACTTACTAAGCCCTCCTTTGTGCCAGACACTGCAACTGAGTCAAGTACATGCTTTGTTTCATGGAATCTTTACAGTGCCCTTGGAGAGAGTTCTATCACCTCCATTTCAGGATTATGTATCCAGAAAGTGATGGGGACCATGTAGCTGTTCTACTATTTTGCCTCCTCATACTAAAATTCTGTGGTTCAAATGCAGAAGGGGGGTCTTGCAGGGAATAAAGAAAGAGGGGCTGGAAACAAAGGCCTGAGGCAGATTTAACAGTATTGACAAGGTTTTATAACCTTGTATCTGTGCCCATGCACTGTGACATAATAAGAAATGTATTTGTTTTCTGTTTCTGGTTCCTGACACAAGAGCTACTCAGACTTTGAAATCTCCAGAGTGATAAGATACACTTTTGCCTGTTAGTGAGGTGACTGGTGGCTAAAGGTCCCCATCAGCTTCAGAAGGGGACTTGCAGACTTCTAGGGAGGAGAGATTGAATTCGGTCACCACTGGCCAATGATTTAATCAATCATGTTCACATAATGGAACTTTCATAAAAACCCTAATTGACAGGGTTGGGGGGACTTCTGTGTCCCTGTGCCAGATGCGTGGCTCATCAGAGCTCTATAACAGATGCTTCTATGCCGGGGACCCTTCCCTCACACCTTGCCCCATGTACTTCATCTGGCTGTTCATCTATGACCTTTATAATAAGTAACAGTAAGTAAATTGTTTCCCCAGTGCCCCCCTCCTATAGAGCAGACTGAAAATTTATTCCCCAGACACAGAAAAGACATGAGCATGTACCAGCACTGAGCGCCTCTGTCTCCTCCCCTGGCTGGAATGCCAGAAGCCAGGGCTTTTCTCTCTGTCACCAGCCCGCACCCCCAAATTACTGACAGTGCCCACTCAGGGAGGTGGCTTTAGAGCATGAACTTCCCTCCTCATTGGCTATTGAATAAAATTTCCTGCCTGCTCCTGGAAACCATTTGGTTATTTGTGATCAGTACTGAGTAGGAAAAGAATCTGCAAATTCGATAACACATCCAGGCAACAGATCGGAGGAACCTTCTTTGGAAAGCATGACATTGCAGGAGGAAGCATCCAAAGATTCTGACATTTGGGGGTTTCCTGATAAAATAACCCAACCAGGTAACCATACAGGGAGCCCTACTCTTGGGCCACTGCTTCCACTTGACATTTTTTTTTAGAAAATTAAGGATCACAAGACATCTAAAGAAAGCCTTCAACATAAAAGAGTGAGTAAAACAACCAAATGGGAAAAAATGGAAGAAATAAATTGTCATTATAAGACTTAGGGAGATAAAGAACAATACTGCACCCATGTATCAAAAAAGAGGATGCTATAGAGGTATAAGTACTATAGAAGAACAAAAAAGAGAGCTCTTAAATATTAAATATTAAATATTAAGAGCTCTTAAATATTACAGGCATGGTGTCATATGCCTGTAATCCCTACTACTTAGAAGGTGGAATTGGGAGGATAAAAGTTTGAGCACAGCTTAAGCAAAAACATGAGACTCTATCTAAAAACAAACAAGTAAAAAGGGCAGGGTGTGTCATCAAGTGTTACAGCACTTGTCTAACAAGTGCAAAGCCCTCAGTTCAAACCCAAGTACCATCCCAAAACAAACAACAAACAACAACAAACCATACAGGCAGACATTAAACAATCAGTAGATAGAAGGTTTTTTTTAAATCTCTTTATAACACAAAGATAAAAAGAAAACAAAATCAGAGAGAAAGGATAAGAATATTAAAGATCAGTTTAGGAGGGCTGACAGCCAAATATCAGAGTTCCAGAAATAGAGAACAGAAAAAAAAAAATAGAGGGGAAGAAATCACCAATGAAACAATTCAGTACAATTTCCAGAACTCAAGAACATAAATTTCCAAATTAAAAAAGCCCAGTGAGTACCAAGGACAAGACATGAAAATAATTTCATAGCAAGGCACATTAATATAAAGTTTCAGAAAAATAAAGACCAAGAGTCTGAAAATTTTAGAAGAAACAAGATGGCACAAAGAATTGGGAATTAAAATGACTTTAGACTTCTCAACATTATCCCTGGAAACTACAGATAATGTAGCAATGCCTTCAAAATCCTATGGGAAAATTATTTCTACCTTCAAATCTTTACTGAACTAAATTATTGGGTAGTAGTTCCATTAAGATAGTTTCATGTTCACTACCTCAAAAAAAAATTCCTTCCATGATGCCCTTCCTAAGAAGGCTTCAGGAAGACATGTTCCACCAAAATGAAGGCATTCACCAATGAAAAAGAACATTAGGAAGAGGTAACTAAAATTCCCCCATGAGAGGGAATGGGGAGCCCAGGACACTAGTAAGGAGAAATCTCCAAAAAATCAGCAGGTCCAGCTTATTAAGCTAACGGCCTTGAAAGATATTTCTTCAAGAAGATAAAATTGATCACTATCTGAATGAATTTTTGAATGAACTGACAGACAATTTAGGTCATTTTTGGAGGGTATGAGGTCGAATTATAATAATTTCATAGAAAATGAAGCAAATGAAAAAATAAAACCACTACTAACTTGAGAAAACAGAAATTACCTAGGAAATGAACAGTAAACCTAGTAAACCTAGCTCAGCTATGAATAGCACTTACATTGCTGTAATATGGTAAATGATGCCTACTGATCAAACCACAAGAGGCAGAGGGAGGATGAGAAGACTGGAGGAGGGACATGGGGACAAGGGAGGAGAGAGAGATAAATCTTCATCTTCCACAGTGCAAAACCAACCAGATAAATGTTACAAGTAGAAAAACAGTAGGAAGTAACAATACAAGAAAGTTATTCAGAGATATGGAAGTAAATAACCAAAAGAATCAGTGAAAAGTTTGAAAGTGATACTAAAAGGAGAATGAGGACCTGCCATTTTTCACAGCAATCCTTGTAGAAACATTTGATTCGTTTAACTATGTGATTTCATAGCTTTGATCCAAAGCTATTTAAACTAAATTTAAAATAAGGAAAAAATACATCAAAGTTGATAGAGTCTAGATTGTGATAAAATGGTAGTCCAAAGCCTTTTCCCTGTGAAGCAATTTAGGACAAAGCTGAGGGTGTCCCAGGTTACCCTGTCCTTGCCCACAGGAGACTGGAGATTGATTCCTGCCAGAAGGGTATATCCCAACACTGAGTTTCCCAGGGCAGACTGGGTATGGCTTCCTCCATTGCTCATAACAAGGTAAGAGGTCCCAGTTTCCCAGTTGTCACACAGACCCACTGCCGAGTGGAGAAGCCTCATCCCACTCACCCCTGCCTGTATAGGAAGAGGGCGTCTGGAAGCAGGAAGACTTACATGTCACACCTCTGGGGGGAGTTGGGGTAAAGTGGGATCCAACATGCCCATTGTTCATAGGAAAGTCTGACTTGGGCCGGGGAAAGAACTGGCCCATGATGGCGCAGCAAGGTCAGCAGAACAGGAACTGGCCCCTGCAGTATGATATGAGTGTTAAAAACCAATGAGCTCCAGAGTCATATCCAAGCTTGCAGAAGGGCTGATTTCAGGATTGGAGAAGGGAAAATACAGGTAAGTCTGAGACATCTTCTTTTTCTCCTCAAAGCCAGGAAATGCTCAAAGACTCCTGGGGTTTGCCCGAAGGACCCAGGAGCCAACTTGAAAAGGCGCCTGCCAGCCAAGCAGAGGACAATGCCTGCTTTAATTAGAAAAATTTACCTGCCTCTTTAGAAGGGACTACAGCTGCATTCCAGCTGATGAGGAAAAACTCTTTATGGAAGAATGGAAGTTTCGTTTGTTCTTGCAGAGGAAAAAATAGAATTGGAAAATCACTTTTTGTAACCCCCAGTGAAACAATTGACCAGTAAAGGGTCATCAATGGATGCTATACCATGAAATGAGAGGTTGTAAAAGAGAATGGTCACCTGAAATATGAACCCAAAGTTCCTTGTGGACTGCAAACAGAAAGGTGCAGGCTTGCTGTCGCCTCACACAAGTGGCCACACAGCATCACCAACTGCAGGACATTCAGTATAACAACTTTGCTAAAGATCCATTAGCCAAAATCTGCCTGCAGATCTAAATTCCAATTTATAGTAAATACATGGAGTAAAAGAACACACTAAATTACAAACCAAATCATGATTATGTTGCCACTGTGGGAATGAGCTCTTTCACGGCATAGGCACGTAATGTGGGTTTTAATCATCATAGAGGTTTCTCAATAACTGCCATCATTTTTCTCCTCCCTTTCTCTCTGCTTCTCTTACAGTGCTGGTGAAGGAATCCATGACCCTGCATGTGATAGGAAAGATCTCTAGTACCAAGCTATACCCTCAGCCCAAAGTTTTGTTTTTTTGATAAGAAACAAAAGTTTCGGGGCTAGAGGCATGGCTCAAGAGGTAGAGTGTCTGCCTAGCAAGCACAAGGTCCTGAGTTCAAACTCCATCACCATAAAAAAAAAAAGAAACAAAAGTTTCAGCTGGATGGTTTGGCCTGGCTTTGCCCCAGCTTCTAAGGTGAAGAGCCTGAGGGAAGAAGGGTTGGTGTTTGGTCAGGCAGAGTTGGGACACCTGTTGCTTCTCCAAGGGTGCACACCATCCACACACATACACCCCCAGAAGGGGTG